AATGAAAACTGACCTTCATAGTACTGTCCAATATGTCAGGAGACATCCTTGAACAGAGTAGATGAGAATCATGCTTTCCGGATCTCACATTGTAGTGAATGTCTCATAAAGGCATGTAACATGTGCTGATAAAACAAAACAGAAAAGAACATGTTACAGTGTCAAGGGCAAATATAGAGTATGCAGGCACCTATGAAATCTTCAAATAAAGGTTTGAAACTTTAAATATATTGGCCTTAGAATAGCTAGTTATGATCAGTTGACAGTAGGAAGGAATGTCAAATTTGAACTCTCCAGCCTATACATAGTAAATATGTTGTCAGATATTCTTGTGATCACTGTACAAGACACTGGACAAGTGTCAGGGTCTTGGTTTACAAGAAGGCATACTTCCATGTTATGTGGAATGGAGAAAGACAACAATAATAAATACCAGGTAAGTTTGGTAAAGTCAAATGCGGCCTCTCCCCAGCTGGTGTCATACCGGGTTTCTTAATCTCCACCTCTTTGCAGTCCTCTGAAATTCTTTCACCTTCCAAAAATAGATATAAAAATGCTTCTTTTGTCATTGTGTCACCTGAATCCAGTGGTCCCATGTATGGTGCATTCTGCCTCTGCATCGACTTTGCATATACAGACCACAAGGATCCCAAAGAAAAACAGGATGGGCTTCACCATCTTCTCAGTGGCACTGAATGTTCTGTGTCCCCTTCGTCGGGAGTTAGCTGTAATCCCACAACAAATTAATCTTTCAAGCTTCTGATTAATTGCCACGACTACTAATTATTGATCTACAGTGCAGATCAGAAAATCTAGGTTAGCACAGCAGTGTTTTCTTGCCAGGCCACAGCAGAACGGGGGCACATACACATGGATCATGCCTGAGGAATGGCGATTTCTGGCACTGTTAATGGAAAATGATACAGAGGAGAAGCCATTGGGGATTCGTTTCGATTGGCTTTGCTTGATCAGCAACGCATTTACTTTTTCCATATTGGCAAAGTCCAGGAGGTGGGTCGAGGCCGAGCACTCTGTAGCAGTCAGACTTGCTGTTGCTATGATGAAACACCTAAAAGGAATAGTTTAAAGAAGGAGGAATTCTTTCTGGCTCACAGTCTTAGACACATTAGTCCATAGCCCTTGGCTCAGCCCATGATGAAACAAAAACGACAAACAAACAAAAATCACAGCGGTTGGGGTATGTATGGGTGAAGATGCTCACATCATGGCAGACAGGAAACAGAAAGGGGAATGGAGAAGGGTGCGAAACAAGAACATGCAATCCCCAACTGCCCAAAGTTCCCAGAACGTCTTAATACAGTGCCACCATCTAGAGACTTAAGAACTCAATGCATGTGTTCTTTGTGGTGCCACTCTACATCCAAAGCAGAACAGGCAGCTTAGAGTCATAAGGTCTGAGGATGTGAGTCATTGGCGACCCACACTCCAGGGAGGAGCCCAGCAATGTAGAGAAGGGGATTTAGAGAAGTAATCATGGGAATTAAAGACCGAGGTTGGTAACATACTGCAGCAACCACTGAGAAAAGCCTAGAGGTTCCAGAAGATAGGCGAAAAGGAGGTTTATGTCCCAGCCTCCTGCAGCTCACAGTATATCAAAAGAGGTGAACACATGAATGAGTCATTTCAGCAGATTGCAGATGGATATCCACAAGGGGAGCACCACGTTCAGGCTGGCTAAGAAATCACTTCACTAGATCCTGAGCTAGCTGTGCTCTCAGAGGTGTACGGTGAGAACAAACTCCAGAGTGCATGGTTCATCCAGGGAGGGGGGAAACTGTGTCTGTTCTCCCCAGACTCCTCCATGTCGGGTTGCTCTTTTCATTTGTTGTCATGAAGAAGCATGTGTGTAAACTGACTTTGATGACATTAGGTTGTTACTTTGAGGTGAATCGGGTACCAGGGCATGCTACTGTTGATGAGCAGCACTGGACCTCAAGGTATTCACAGCCCGGAGGACCGAATAGAGATCAACTTGTGGGCAGACACTTGCAATGCAGGATGACAACTGCTTTCTGGCTCTGGGCACTCAATGGGTTGGTGATGGTGCCAGGGCACTCAAAGGATGTGCCCGTAGGTCTGAAGAAGAAGAGGAATGGCTGACTGCCTAAAACAAGTCATGCGGATTGGGGGAAGATAGTTCCACAGAATGGGGGTGTTAATGCTTAGAACACAGGGAGCAACCAAGTTCTCTGTGTCCCTACCCTTAGAGGTGAAAGGTCAGTTTGTGAGAACAGTCAACGCCCTTGTCCTCCAAGACGTCCTGCAATATGTGACATGGTCAGACTTTTAAAAAAGAAATGGCATTCTACAACAAAGGCAAAGCCTGTTTCCCCAGAAATTAGGGGGCCGCAGTAATCTACCAAGTAAGAGAGGATGAGGCCCATCCTAGGACAGTGTAGTTGGGGATCTTGGCCCAGAAGTAGCACACAGGGGCCATGTCTGATTTGATGCAGATAGTTAGACAAAGGGAGACTCTGGGTATACTCCCAAGACCCTAGTGTCACTGAGAACATAGATATAAAGAGGTTTGAAGTCATACTTTTTTATTTCTGAATTTTGGGAGGTACCTACACGCAGTCTAGAACATGGATTTCTAGTAACTGGCCACGGTGCTTTGGCAAACAGGGATAATAGACACATACTAGAGAATACCAATGAAGAAGTAGCAATTGGATTTGTGAGTAAGGAGGTGAGATCATGTGGGGAGGTGGTGTCCCAAGGGCACTGGACCCCTCACCCCTGGGTGCCCCTGAGAGCATGTTTCTGAGCCGGTGTACTCAGCATGCTTCCACACACCAGCAGACACGCTATAAGGGCCTGGGCTTGTAAGTTTGCCTATTCTGTACACGAGCTGTTTCTGAAGTGGTGGTACTCCAGTGAGCAGGGTCTCCTTCCTCCGCTACCTGGCCTCAGAGCCCTCTGCAGGGTATACACCGACAGCCAGTGAAGGACAGCTTGAGGCACAGTGAAAAAAGCGAGAGCCGCCTTGAGTTGGAAAAGAACCTATCAAGCAGGGAAGAAGCAAAGCGGCCAAGCAGCCAAGAAATCAAGTTGAGTCAACGCAGTTCACCTGGAGTATACACTGAGCCCCGAGCAGGACAAACAATGTCTCTTCAGAACTCACAAGGCTCAAGCATCTACAGCCACAACTGACCTCAGTAGTACTTTTGCAAAGCAGAGTAAACCAACAGCGAATAAACATTGGAAGAAAACTGCATTGATTTATTTTTTTTCAACAAAAGCAAGAACTCTTATAGAAATATATCTTGAGTCTATTAGAGCTACCCTACCAGGCAGCTTGTAAGTGAAGCTAAACTATATTACAATTCCATTTGAAAAAGAAACTTTAATCTGTTTTTCTATACTTTTGTTCTCCCCCACCGCCATTATAACTGTTAGGTTTTACTGTCAAGTGTACTTAAAAATATGCTATGTGAATTATAAATTATGTATCGTTGTAGTACAAACCAACTATTTCAAACTTTTCTTTTTGCTCCATAACAATGTAGGAAGAGACAGCAGACTGTCTATCTTTCTCTGTCATATGAATGAGCAGATGGTAGGAAGTTGGGTCTGCAAGCCAGGAAGAACCTCCACCAGAAGGAAGAACCAGATCTTGCACTCCCTATTCTCCATGATCTGGTCTGAAAGGTTGTATTCTCCAAGTCTTAACGCCAAGTAAAACAGTATCAGCAGACAGGGCCATTACGTATGGTTAGATCACAATGGAATTAGTGTCCTTACTTTAAAAAGGTCAATGGGGCTTCTCTGTGCCTTTCTGTCATCAGAAGGTGCATCTAGAACGCTCTATGTATAAGGAGGCCTTCATAGACACTGACATTCCTGGGACATTGACTGTGGACTTCCCAGCCTCTGCAACTGTGACTGAGCAAACCTTGTGTTCACAAATCTCCACTCTAAGGTATTTCCCCATGTAATCCTGACCACTCAAACACAGAGGACCACGAATAGTCATGTGTCTGTGTGCCCTTTCTCACATACGGAATTTTGTGGATGTGTTTTTGGGGTAACAGAGGGGGACGAGGAAGCTCTCTTAACCTCTTTTATAAGGACATTAGTTCCATCCATGAATCTTTCATGACTAACCCCACCTAAAGACAACACCTGCTATATCTTCGATATTGGGAACCAGAATCTGTGGATGAGACAAACATTAAGATAATAACAAGGAGACTGGGAGTCCCAGGTCAAGTTCTGGCATGACTTTACTTCTGGTGGAGGGCTCGTCTTGGCTTGCACCTTCTTACTCTGTACTTCCATGGCAGAGAGAGACAGGGATATCAGGCACCATCTTTCATAAAGAATCCGGTTAAGTCAGGACTCTCCTTTATGATCTCATTGACATTTTAACCCCTTTTCTTCAAGATCTCATTTGAATTACAGGCCCAAGTAGGAGTAGGCCTTCAACATGTGAGTTGGGGGGGCGATTCCGCTCACAGCATGATGGGAAAAAAGAAGAGCAGAGCACAGATGGTAAAAGCCTTGTCTGGTTTTGATTCCGTGAGAGAAAGAAACTCATGAGTCAATTTGTAATAATGATTATATAAAGTGTTGCATGTCTGTTGGGAAGGCATATTTTATACCCACTTGGGGTCTTGTGCTGTATGAACTAGGAGTTTTGCAAAGTTAATTCTACTACTTCTTCTTCTCTGCTTTACTCAACAATAAGCCCTTGCTGTGGCCTTCTTGTTTGTGAGGCCCCCACTCAATCCTATGTAGAAATGAAGACCCCGGGGTGATGGCATCACTAACAGGGACTTTGTGAACTGGCCAGGTTATTAGAGTGCTGGTTTGGAGGCATCCATTCTCTTATGGGTTAACTATGAAAAAGTCATCTATTCTATATATATAATAGTACTCGGGAGAGCTGGCAAATGGGACATTTGTGGGGTGGGCAGAGACAAGTAGATGGCAGTGTGTGTAATTTCTGATTGTATCCTCTCCCTTTCAAAACTCAGGTGACAGTGACGGATGGTGGTTCTTCTCCCAAACAGTCGACCATCTGGGTGGTAGTTCAGGTTCTGGATGAAAATGACAACAAGCCCCAGTTCCCTGAGAAGGTCTACCAGATCAAGCTTCCAGAACGTGACCGCAAGAAGAGGGGAGAACCTATTTACAGGGCTTTTGCATTTGACCGGGATGAAGGCCCCAATGCAGAAATCTCCTACAGTATTGTGGATGGGAATGATGACGGAAAGTTCTTTATTGACCCTAAAACTGGCATGGTCTCTTCCAGAAAGCAATTCACAGCAGGAAGTTATGACATCCTGACGGTAAGGTTTAATTCTAGAGCATCAGTAGGGTAATGGTGAGTCCTCTCATTTATGCCTACTTCTTTGATCAATAAATGTCTAATGCTTTCTGGGAGCCAGTTACAGGTGAGAACTCTTACCTTTCTGGGTGATGTTCTAAATAATGAGAGTTTCCTTTGTTGTGTCCTATCAGCAAACTTTCCCTGCTTCCATGGCCTGCTGGAGCCTATACTCTCAATCACATATCTTGAGCCCTAAATCATTCTTAAGGTGCTGTACATAAAGGACTGTCTATATCTAGAGTAAAGTAGAAAAGGCTGTGGTACACATGCATTCAGGCACGCATATGTTCACACACACACACACACACACACACACGGAAACAGACAAACATACACATGGGCACACATGCATATGATCATACAAATGCATACACATTTGCACACATATTCCCACATACATGCATGTGCATTCCCACATGTTGTACACACTCTACACATGCTCACACATGTGTACATCATGCATGCATAAACATATGCATGTATACACATAATATACTGACACATTCACATGAATGCCCACACTCATGTGTATGTGCACACTCAGTGCATGTGCACAAAGTATACTCATTTGCTTGTACACATATAATATACTTACATACAGTCATGTGTCCATAAACTTACATACATGTATATACTCACATGCATGCACACACATGCCCATACATCCTAACACACAAATACAGAATGACTGTATACTTCATTTCCATTCAACTCTCACTAGAGGTGAAGTTCAGAGTCATGCTGTGACGAATCAAATTAGCTATTTTTACTCACATAAATTATTATTCTTGACCCTGACATACTATGAAATGTAAGTACAACATTTGCTTTTCTTACCATGGTTTCATTTCTTGAGAGTAGCTTCTGGCAGATTTAGTGTGAGCCCTGTTCCCAAATAGGTCACCTTTTGAGAGTCCACTCTCAACAGGATACCACCCTTCTTCTGGTGACATTGTGCAGAAAATGCTCTTTTAGCTCACTACTGTGGGTGAAAGACTGAGACTCCCACAGACTCGGAGTACTAAGCCATCCTTCTGTGTTCCCTCCATGTGTAGATAAAGGCTGTGGACAATGGCCGACCACAGAAATCCTCCACGGCCCGCCTCCATATTGAATGGATTAAGAAGCCCCCACCTTCACCGATGCCACTGACGTTCGACGAACCGTTTTACAACTTCACCGTCATGGAAAGTGACAAAGTAACGGAGATTGTAGGGGTGGTGTCTGTGCAGCCGGCTAACACCCCTCTGTGGTTTGACATCGTTGGTAAGTTTAAGTCTCCAGAGCATGTCTGGAGGAAAGGGACTAACTGTTTGAAAGACTAGTCAAACAAACAAACAAACAAAAACAAATTTTAAAATAATTTAAAATGCCAAAGAAACAAATTTAAAGCCTAGCAATTAAGCCTAAGATTAAAAGTAGTGCTGGAATGCAAAAGAGCCAGTAAAATGAATAACTGACCTGTGCTTTCGTTCCAATTCTGTAGCTAAGCTGAACAGAAAGTGCTCTCTGGCTGGATTTTTCCATAGTATGTTATTTACTGCAAACTTAATGTCTTTCTGTGTGTCATTTTAATTCTATTGTCACACTTGGCTAATCTCATTTCTAAATGTATTGATGGTACTAGACTTGCTGTCCTTCATTTCTCTCTTTTTCTTCACCTTTTTTTCTGCATTCTGTTCTTTTTTTTTCTGCTCCCGACTGCCCTGCTTCAAGGTGGCAAGCATGCTCGAGAGATGTTCTATATTCTACAGACAGCTTGTGGGCAGAACTGTTCAACAGAAGGTACCCTTAGTGCAAACACATTTGCTAAAATACAGCTATCCAATCTGCCTTTTGCGTTTTTTTTTAACAAATTGAATTACATCTTTCATAACTGCCTGTGACAGACTGAAATGCAGCCCACAGATTTCATACATGCCTCTAAAAGCTATTTCATTGCTCGTATCCAATGACTCCTTTGTTTGAAATTAAATGGGTTTGGGGCTTGGGGGGGATTGTTTTGATTTTCTCCCGTTGCTTTTTGAGGTATGTGGGCTTTTTGTTGTTTTGTTTTATCTTTTTGTAGGTTAGTTTATTTAACTGGGAATTTTCCAATTGAAAAAAATAAATGCAACTGTATTCCTGCCCCTCTGTTTTTCAGCAGTAGTAGCATTCACAGACAAAAAAAAAAAATCGGCACCAGGAGAGTCCCCTGGCTGCCGTCCACAGGAGGAAGGGCAGGAAATAGAATCGAGATGTGCGTGTGTAGCCCGTCAGCCTCTACTCACCCTGAATAGAGAAAGCAGATGGAGGGAAGCAGGCAGGGCAGACCTTGGGAGCCAATCTCTAAATTCCTTGAAAGAAAGCAAGCAAGCACGCCAGGCTGCAAAAGGAAAAGGGCAGCTCTTCCACAAACCTTCAGGGAGAGCACTGGAGAGGAAATGTGTACAGGAAGGGAAGTAAAACGGGCTGTTGTCAGAGAGGGAGGCCAGTGTGTCTGGCAGGAAGGATCATGGCTGAGCCACAGCTCACTTCCCACGATCCTCTATGAGCACCGGAGTAGCCAGAAGACTACTGATGGGGTAGACTCATTTCTTTCCCCATGATGCCTGGACAGGATGGGCAGGAACCTGCTACTTACTCCTCCAGAACAGCTGGGTCTGGGAAAGCATTTAGGAGGTTTCACATCTGGTTTAATGAAGTGTAGAAAAAGGATGGTCTGTGTCTCCCAGTCAAACCTCAAAGAGTCCTCTGAAGTCCCCAGAAGGGCTTGCCTTCTGCATCTTATTCTGCAAAACATAGGGCATCTTTGTTTTACTTAATTGACGTTAACCTCACCATCTAGTCATATGACCATCCTTTCAATTCCTTCTTCATCTCTGCCAGCGTATTTGGGATGGACCATTTTCTGACCCCATGAGAAATATCTTGCCACCATCTCAGCAGTTTTCTGCTTCTCCAGGGATTACATGATACAGTTTCTTCTTTCTGATGCAAGGAAGCATTGGGCATGTCACCAGTTAATTGTCTTTTGCCTGCCCGGACACCATTGTACATTCCTCCACCAACCCAGTGCTCCCTGTCCCTTACACAAGCATCCTCCCTCTACCCACTTAGCTCAAGCTGCCCATAAATGGTAAATCTCACTAGCATACCTTTCTTACATGCTCAGTGTCGTCAGTCAGCTGAGTCCAGTTACTCAGGCCAGCTTACAATTCTTCAGTGTCTCCACACGTGTGTAGGTTAGCACGCTGCTAGCAGCCCAGCGTGTATGATTACGGCGGGCTTTTCATATTATGTCATCAGTGCTACTGTACATTTTCATTCATATTTATCCCATCTCCACTCTTCACCCTTAGAGTGAGTGAAGAATACAGAGACCGTTGGTGATGCCTCAGGCAACCAAGTCAGCCTTACTTACTGACTCCCCGCCCTGCCCAGGGTCAGGGTGACACCAGTCATAATAGCCTCACTAGTCCAAGGAGAAAGAGGGGTTTATACAGAAACTTCTTGGGCGTCGAAGTATAATCCAGGAACGATACGCAAAGTAAGCCTTAGTTTTCACGTCTCTTTATCTTTGTGCTTCTAAGCATTACTTTTCTCCACACATCCCCTCCTCACCCATTCTACCGCATGAGTAAGAGAAGCTCTTTCAACGAAGACTCCCGGGGCTGTACCCCTGATCTGGACTCCTCCATCACTGACATTTCTCTGTAAACCTGGTAGCAGTTTGCCAAGCTTCTTCTACAAATTGAACTTACTGGGCCTCCTGCCCAAACAGATCATGATTTTATTTCCATCCCCACGTCCCGCCAACAATGTCTTGAGATGCCAACTTTTTGCTTCACTGGAGGACTTCAAGTCCTTTCCCCGTGTGCTGGCAGTTTTCGGTAGGGATGCTCTCCTCTACAAATCCCCTTTCTGAAAACATGGCTTGTCTGCCAGAGTCATATTCTACCCAGTGTGCTGACATCTTCTTCCTTCTTTTAAAGTCTCTCGCTCGCTTTATCATCTTCAGGTGTTTCATCCTCACGGCCAAATTTCTTGCTTATTTGTCTCTTGTGAGTCTTCCCTTCCTCGTTGCCTAAGCACCATCTTTGGTTAAGCTGAGGGGACCAAGAGAGAGCAACATTCCTTAGCACTTAATACTCGTCCATGACCCTTGCAGAGCTACAGAGAATATGCACGAGATAGCCAAGGTCAGCATGGATCTAAATGAAGCCTGGGGTTTTATCAGGTTTTGCCTGAGTACTCTTGTGAAGAATAAGCCAACCTGTGTTTCCGCCATAGTGCATCCAAACACTCATGAAGAACACACTGAGAGGCCCAGGGAATGCCATCCTGATCTGGGGTGTACAGCTTTAAACTGTTCATCCTGGTGAACCCTCATTCAGTTAAACAAACGATGCTGTTTTAATCTCCCTTTCCCCTTAACAACGCTCTTTCACTTTCCAAACGTACATGACTCTGATTTTAACTGTGTTTCCTCACCGCCTGCCAGAACATGAAGTCACAGAAACTCCTTGTGAGCGCTGTTTTATTCCCAATCCTAGACGCTGCTTGCAGTCTAAAGAGACTGTGCTCCCTATGTAGCTAGACAATCTTCAGCTCCCAGAAACAAGCCCTGCTTATAACCCAGCTAAGAAAGCTGTAATTAAAAGGAAACATAATAAAGTTCAGCTGTTGTGGATTTAGACAGCCCAACACACAGCATGCTTCTTCTCCTTGTTAAAAGGGAAAGGAAATGAAGGGAACAAAAATAACCCACAATCCTTTGTGGCTTTGTCATGTATCTTCACACTTCTCGGGAGGCTCTGATTTCCCCTTAGCAGTTCCTTGATTTACATACCCTCCAATGTGCAGGCAATCTGGCTCTCAGCTCGGCCCCAGAATCTCATCCTGATGGCAAATATTTGAATTCTAAAGGGCATCGCCATTAACAACCCTGTGCTGAGAACTGAGGTATGCCGATTTCCAGTTTTTAGCTTTTTTACCTGAATCAGGTACATAAAGAAGCTTTAAGCAAATAGGAAGCGCATGAACGGCCCTGACTTGCCTCGCCCAAAGTCAGGAAGGAGAAAGGCAATGTTAACAGGAATCTCTGAGGGCCAGCCCTCTGTGTTGCAGATAGACAAAGGCGACATTGGTCCTCAGCTGGCTGTAGCTGCCTGTGATTGGGATCCTTGGTAACCTCGTCTCCTGTGCAGCCGCAGATGATTTAGGTCAAGACGGCGAGCCACTCTTTCAGCCAGCACAGGACAGCAGTAGCTTTATTCTGCCAGGTGTGTCCAACCTTTTGAACTTGGCACATGATGTAATCCACAAAGGTCATGCCTGAGAACTATGTGATTACTTATTCAAATGTTAAAGAGAAGAAACCTCAGATGTTGACTAAGTCTCTAATTCCATGTGTCTGTATTTGGTAACTAGTCTCAGTCGCCTGAGGTTGGGCATGCCTCAGAGCTGGGGTGCCTCTGGGTCTACCCTGACCTGGCAGCCACATTTCTCCATCTTGTAACTCTCATCCGGCCTGCCTTTAGAGAAGCCACATCTATTTCTAAGTTACCTGCTCCCCCATCAGTTATTCAAAGGACACCCAAACACTTCATCCCTCCTATCTAGCTTCATGCTCTAACTTGATCCCAAAAAGGAATCAATTTTCTCTATAGCAACTATCTCGCTTATGGAGTCATATCTGAAGAAACTTTAGAAAAGCAACAAAACGTCTAAAAATACCTCACATATTGTTGGAAAAAAGGAACCTTGGACTAAATTCTAGAAGGTGTTTTTCCCTTCCTACCACTCTTTCCTGCCCTCCAGCTCCTGCCCGCCATTTAAATATCAGCCTGCTATGCGCTTGCTTCATTCCAAGGCAGAGAGTATTCATAATCACACCGCAACTGGTGTCTTTCCTTCAGTTGAGTGTACATGCTGAACTTGAACGAACAGCTTGTGCACGGCTCCCTTCATTCATTGAGATTTAGTGGCTCAGGGTTTTGGAAGCTTCTTAGTCGCACCTCCCCCTGGGTAACTACTAGATTTATAGTTGCACATGCAAGAGTGGAGCCATTTTCTAGAGGAAGAACCTGGAAGCTGTGCCATGTTTATCTCTGAGTCTCTGTGCAGAGACAGCACCAGCAGAAGCTTTCTCCTCCGCCAGGGTGTGCCCAACCTTTTGAGATGGAGACTTGATGTCATCCACAAATCTCCAACCTCAAATGGGATACCCACCTTTACAGAAAAGCTCAACTCAGTTGGACCCCAGTGAACTGAACAGTAGATGCTGGCTGCATGTGTTTTTATCCATGTCCTATTTCTAGAGTCTTTTCAGGACCCGTTGAATTTTATATTATAACAGAAATCCAGTTGCCTCTTCTGCACTTCTTTACACCATGTCTTGACCAAAAATAGTCCAAGAGAAATGTCCCTAAAGGAATTATTGTCATGTGGGCTGTTCACAACCTCGCTTTTAACTACCTCTGCCGCACTCTCCCATAGCAATGCACAGGCTGTGACATTTCTGAACCCCACTCTGTTGGGACTCGGGCCAGCTCTGCAATGTCCTTTTCTGCCCACTTTTTATTTGGCCTCATGCTGTTGCATCCAACACACTCTGGCTTTTGCATGTTCTGTTACTGGCTCTGAGGAAGCACATCTTGTTTAAACTGAATGGGGCTAGTGAAGACGGACTCCTTGGCTTTGATTGATAGCCTCCCCCCAGATGATTCGGAATTGTTTTCCTACAAAATTGAAATCACCTTTCAGGCTAACAGGGAGTCTGCAAAAACAAGACCTGGGGAAAAGACCCAGAGTCGCTTATGAAACGGATGCTTAAGTGTAGGTTATTAAACTGTGTGTGGGTTGATGGTGAACTGCTGGTCTAGACTCTATGTCCCTTGTCAGAAATTCATTTGGAAACTCGCTAAGAATTTGATTTAAGTGAAATCTTGGCTTAACTGGGAGCAAATGTCCTAGAAATGAGGATTATAGCATGCTGGCCACATGAGTGAATGGGAAAATGTACCAAGGATGCTAATGAGCTATCTCTTCTATGACATTAAAAGTTTCTTATCAGGAGTATTTAAACAGCAAAGACCAATGAAAGAAACAAATACAGACATGGTAAATACACGCAAAAAAGAAAAGAGAGGGTTATAAAAACAAATTTGCAAAAGTTGCCAAAAATATTAATAAGAACAAAAATTATGAAACAGCATATAATCCACATATGTATAAATACTCACTATACACTATACAGTTAGGGTGATGGTGTACTTCGCACACAAGCTCTGAAGGATCACAATCAGTAAGATCAAGAACCGAAATGGGGAAAAACTTTGCCTGTGTTTCCTCTAAGCATCATTTTCATTCATCTTTCAGCTGGAGACAATAATTTGCACAGTTGTCTTCCTTTGACCCACAAATGTTTGCCTTTCCTAAATAACTGACACAGAGAGATGAACACTATTCCCCTAAATCAACAACAATGTAAAACAAAGCTCTCAATCTTCATATTTGGGGAAGTAAACAGCACGGGGCGGGTGTTGTGTGGTGTGGAGCATCTAACATTGATGGGGCTGTGGCTGGGTCCATGAGCTAATACCCTCCCGAAGCAACTTGAGAAGTTGCCTTCTTGTCTTTCTCTCTCGTGCTTTGGATGTAAATGATCTGCCTGCTACTTAAGATGACTGATGCTTTCTGTTTCAGTCCATGTATCCACCCAGGAAGTGTTGCCTGCAACAAGAAACCACTCTCTAAGACCAGCACTCCTCTTCTTCTGGGCCCTCAAAGCTCTTCTTTGGAGTTAGCATCTAGTGCTTCTTAGTAAATCAATTAAAGACAGTAATTGGAAGATGATTCTCTTTTAGATGAGATTTTTGAGATCATGCATCATCTCTAAGCTATTCTCTGGTACCCCTGTATCTCCACAGCTTTAATTAAATGTCAAAGGCAATTATGCTCTCTCCAGTAATTAAATAATCCTATGTGAACATGGTAGCTGCAAGCAGTTGGTACTTGGAATATACATGACTACATTTTTAGAAAGAAAGCCACATTACTTATTTTTGTCACTGGAGGACAAGTTTCAGAAATTTGGTTGTGACTCTTTATCCCCTTCACTCATCTGTCCACTTAATATTGTAATATCATGAAAATGTGCTGTTAAATGACCAGAAAAAATTCAAAGACTGCAGGAAGTAAATAAAGCCACGCTTCTCTTTTCTAAAATATGAAATTCAGTAAATACATCGCCCCACATACTAATGTTAAATAAAATTACCATCTGAAATCAAAAGTAGTTCACACATGCAATTTCCGACAAATATAAATAGTACTGGTGAACATATACTGACATTTAATTAAAATTGTTCCAACACTTAGACGGTTATCTTTTCTCTCCCTTAAAAAGGTCCCTAATTTGGGAAAGTTTATAAGTGACACTTCTGTTCAGAGATAAAAACGGTCCCAATTCTAATGTTATCGTAAGTATGTCATTCAAGACAAAAGGACAAAAGATAATTTTTTCTAAACCTTTGCGAAAATTGCCTTATAAGTTCACTAGTGTTATATCAGCAATATAATATCCACGTGGAACCTCTCAGATCTGATGGTTTCATGTTGTTTCTGTGAAATCATCAGCCACTTGGGATAAAACTAATTTACACTGCCAAGATGCCAAAACATTTCTCTGAATATCCCAATGTTCAGGAAGACTCATATGAAATTCATTTTAAAATTTTTCTTATCTTCCTGTATTCATAATTTTGTTTCTGACATTTAATTGAGGGACTCTGAATTCTACTAGCCAAATGTTTACCAACAACCCTAGGATAGACCTAAAAGTATCAAATCATTTGTGTTCTTTGTAATTGGAATAGTTTTTACTTAGAATGTATTCTGCGAGAGGAAAAGTGAAACCGTTCCCAAGTTCCCAGCATGGTAGCTGAGAGTGTTTGAAGTGCTGTTAGCCTTCTCAGTGTTTTATGGAGTCAGTTTATGTCACCCTGACGTTACTGCTGGGGGTTTTATTTACAATACATTGGTTTTTGTGTCATTTGCTATGCTTAGAGAGGGTGGCTTTTAAAATACAAATGAAGTTAGAAATAGCAAGGCCCCATTTAAGATTTATGAAATTTGAGCCATAGGGATGCCTGCTGGAAAATATATCTACATAAAAGTGTCCTGTAAAGATATATGCCTCCATACACTTAATACCTTCTCAGATGTGCTAATTTCATGTTGTTTCTGTGAAATCATCAGGGGGGAATTTTGACAGCTCTTTTGATGCAGAGAAGGGTGTTGGGACAATTGTCATTGCAAAACCTTTGGACGCAGAGCAAAGGTCGGTCTACAACATGAGCGTGGAAGTCACCGATGGAACAAATGTTGCCGTCACTCAGGTAAGACATTAAGTTACTGACTAGCAAGAGTGTGCAAAGATCTGCTAAAGAGAAGTGGAAGCAATAAAAAATAGATCCACGAAGTAAAAAATTGTATCTGTGGATTTTGTTTTAGTGAACAACTGAGACAAAATGTTCCATTGGTGTTGCTGTAGAATTATTTGTCTCCTCTTTCAAAATGACTATGGTTGTTGGCTCATGGAAGAGTGGTCGTTTACGATAGGTTCATCTCTGACAGTAGTCAACTTACAAAGAGCCCATCGACGTTGTCAGTGTTAGCCCAAGGTGAGATTCTTCACCTCCTCATTCCCTGAGTCACTAAAAATGTAAAAAGAAAAAAAAATGTAAAAAAGCTAGAGATAGCTAAACAGCCTCAATAAGGAAGAAGATCAAGGCCTGGGGATCCACTGTAGTCTTTGTGTTGGGTTCTCTGTCCTGGCTGCACGTTGTACACTCTGTCATGGTGAGAGGAGACCCAATGCTCTTATAGCCGGACCCCAGTGCCAGAGTTCCTGTGAATGTTCCCATGCAGCTGGAGTTGAGGAACGTCTGCTCTGCCTCTTGCGTGCCTAGAAAAGACATTGAGAGCTAGAAGAAAACTCTTGTCTTATTGCCTGACTCAGAACACCTCTGAACTTCTTCCCAAGAGAGACTAACACAATGCTAGCTCTCAACACAGTGGATTTACCTTAAATATAAGGGCTTCGTTTTGTTATTCAGCACCGTAAGCCCAGCCCCACGTGGCGCGCACCGCAACTCGGCTCTTCCTGCTTCTCTTGTTGTTCGCGCAACCCCAGCAGACGTGAGTGGTTGATCTGGGCCCTGCTCTCTGCTGGACCCAGATGGATACTCAGAATTCTTCTCAACACAGTTAGGTAGTGAGTAAAAAGAGTTCTGCCAAACCAGAAGCCAGAAAGTGATGATTTATTTTAAATATGATTTACACTTTTATAGCCATGAAATTTGAAAGCAGGAGGAGGGAGATTTCATACGCTTGTCCAAACAACTGTCTCTTGGTCTGAAGCTGCAAAAAAAATAAAAAAAAGTAACATGACTGACTGTTTCCTTGTATTGAGAGAGCGGTAGAAGTTGAAGGGAACAACGGAGTTCATTTCAAGTGACCAGTTACTTTCCATTTGAATACAACTGTAAATGGAAATGACTCACATGTCATTGTGTGACTGTTCCCGATGCTCACTTTGCTCCCTTCCTGCTTATCGGGTGACCACAGGAGCCTGTTTACCTTAGAGAGTCTCTCTTACACCTGTTAACCCAGAATATGCATTAACAGCACCTCATACTGTCTGGTAATTGACCCAATTGGGACAACAAGTTATATATTCCTCCTATATAAAACCACACCACTCCTTGGCATGTTTTGAAACTCAAATCTGAGCACATAAATGAGGCCGCCTGGCTGAGATTCCATGGGAAATGCGTACTAGAAGAGTATGACAGAAGACCAACGCCAAACAATCCATGTGCAGTATTGCTGTTGATGGTGCTAATTCATTTTAAATGAGATTTAAATTAGATTTTTTTAATTAGTTGTTTCTTATCATATCCAACCCCAGCTCTTCTGTGCTAATTAAACTCCAAGACATATTCTGGTAAAATACAAATAAGCATGAATCCTATTCATTTCCAGACTTTTCCTCTGGGTTTTTAAACCAGTTGAATTAATCAGTGTTCAGTGTATCTAGAATGTATAATTCATTAAATATTTTCAGAATGAATGAATAGATAGATTCTACACATCCAGTAGGGCCTATCTAGAAAAAGGTATGCCAGATCTCTGAACCACAAAACATTCATGTTAACAATGGCAATGAAAAAGTTAGCAAAAAGACATTTAGGACTGCAGGAGGATGCGATGAGAAACAATTTAGTAACACTTATTTCATAAATATTTCTTCAGTTCATGCCATATGCAATGAACTACGGTGCTTAAGGTCATGGTGGTATAGTTTTGATCGTTTGTTATTTGAGACAGGTCTCACTGTATTTTTCTCAAACTCCTAATCCCAAGCAATTCTTCTGCTTCAGGTCACATGGTAGGTACACTCCACCTGCTAAACTAGTAATGCAGTTTTAAGGCCAAATGTCTCATGTACATTTATTAAGACAATATGGAATTGTAAGTCTTTGAATCCGTACTTATCTGAGACCATGCTTTTCCAAGCTTATATACATTTACACTTGACTCTACAACATTCTTAAGCAGTCTGAGAAATTGGGGTGAACTTGGAGATCCCCTTAGCAAGAGCAAATTAAGGAGTTTAATAAAAGGCATCATGAGATTTTTCTTGTCAAAAATACCCAAGTCATGCTGTTCTCAAGAACCATGTCTTTAGGTAATAAGCACTCAGTTTCCAAAGCATGCACGGTGTCCTCATCAAGACCATGGCCATCAGAAGGCCATAGTCGTGTTGGACCTTTCTGCCTTTACCCAGGCTTCCCTGGACGTGGCAGCAGAAACAGTTCCCTGCGCCATGTCAGGTACATTTGAATGACAGTATGTTTGGGAAATAAACAGAGCGTTCTAGACTTCTTTTAGAAACTGCTAAGATATGCTCAAATCCATGACCCTAGATAATGCAATGATTCCATCACCAAATAGATACCTTTTTCCATGTAGCTAGATTAATGTCCTGCAGTTTACAAGCCACCTGTTCAGAACTCCTTGGGGGACTTTTCTCTCCTTTGTTCACATGAGCTCACAAAACATGGTAGGACATGGGCTTCTCATCAGCCGTAAACAGCATGTTGAATTTTACTTCACAAATATCAAACAAATCCGAGCCTCGGGGATTCAGCGTCAGCATGAAACCCCGACTTCATCTTCAGTCTTGTCCAGTTCAGACTCTCACAGGATTCTTGTGCCTCCGAGCTACAAATTCTGATGCTGCATAATTTCTGAGGATCGCCTAAGCCGAACGCAGACTGCAAAGGGGCCTGCGCCTTTCCCATTACAAAGATCTCAAAGAACAAAATGCGAAAACAGAGCATCGCCACGTGAGCAGCCGCAGCCTGATGGGATGGACGAAGACTTCTGCAGGAAACTGCCTGGGGTTTAGAAAGCAGAGCTTCGCACTTTTTACATTACAGCACAGTACAGAAGTGGTCCCTATTCTACTGTAGAAGCCTAGAGATGAGCAAGGAAGTCTGTATTAAAAAGGAAGGACAAAGGTGTGACGTTGTCTGTGGACTGTCTTCTTCAAGTAAAGATGAAGAATCACAAGGAACCCTGGTAGTTGTAAGCAGCAGGATTGGGGAATATTCAGGGAATGGAGGGACGACACTTAAAGAATTGAATGAAACACTAACAAGGTTAACCTTCCACCCCAACACAAGCAGAATTACAGGAGTTTAAGTGGATCCCAGCCCTGGTCCCCAGACAAGACAATGGCCATTTGCATTACAAAAGAGCCAAGATGCTTTAATACAGATAGCTAACACCCTGTTAGGGCAAGAACATTAGACATATTATCCTGCTGAAGACTCACTGAGTCAAGGTAAAAGAGGACCAGAGGCTACTTAAATTGTCTTTCACTAGCTAAAGATGGGTCGCTCTCTCAACTTTCACAATAACTTTGCAAAGCAGGTACTAAAAATACTCACTATAGGCAGAATCGGTACACCCTGCCTCTCCCCTAAAAATGTCCACACTCTGGATGTCCCCTTTAAAATTTTGAAGTATTGTATTACATGCTAGAAGGGACTTGAGAGATAAAATTAAGGGCAAAGGTCTCCAGGTAGGACCTATCAACTACCAGAGGCTTGACTGTCAACTTTTTCCAGCTGGAATCAGAAAGGCAGGAAAGGGAGAAGGCAGAGAAGTCAGTGCAAGGAAGATATGAGACAATTTGGGTACACAGTTGGCCTCAAGATGTTGGGGAGCCAGGTGGAAACCAGGACCTCAGTCCCATAACCAGAAGGCTCTGTACTGAGCCTGAACGAGGAAGGAGGTCACTAAAAAAAGGAATGCATCTATGTCAGTCCCTTGAGTTTAGCCTTGACTTCAATATTCAGAACTATGAGATAATAATAATATCAGGTGTTATTTTAAATATCTAATTTGGTAATGACTTTTTGGATCAGAAATACGAAACTCATTGCCTACTGTCATTTCCATTTTACTATTTAGGAAAAAGGCCCAAAGCAAGATCAAGTGGTTTAAGGACACCCTGAACTCAGACCCACACAGGCAGACACTAGAGCCTAAAGTTTCATCCACTATACTGTGCCAACTGTCAAAGGCAGCGTTACAGGAAGCACACCTTTTTAAGTTGGTCTCCTGGGAAGCAAGACACCTGTAACCTTCAGACTGTCTCCTAGCTATCCGGAGGACCCCAACCCCAAGGACATGCTACCCGGGATGATTCATGATGACTATTAGCACTCTCTGTACATTTGCCAAATCAGTCAGAATTACTGTGTCTTCATAGAAAACATAAACAAACGTAGAACAAGGTTCACTGGACAAGAAGGCATACAAATATATAATACTTGATGTTTGCATAGTGAGATTCAACAAGCCTCATTAGGAGTGTTCATTTCCCAGTAACCCTGGAAAAGCTGAATCAGGAGTTATCAACATTCTTTTCCATGGAGAAATCGAGGCTCAGACTGGCTAAGGGGCTGTCTGGATTCAGAGGAAAAAGATACAAGCCCACTTCTTCCTTTGAAAAAGCACATGCTATACAGGAAGTATTCCTTTACTCATTTCTATCTACAAAATATACAACTTCATCCAGTAGGGAGAGCATCTTGTATAATGAAAAAGTATTGGCCCAGAATTGGGTGGCACACATCCAAGTTGACACTTAACCTGTGTGTATTCCCATGAAAGGCAACTCACTCTGTCTAAGGCTCAATCTTCTTCACAAACTGTTGTATGAAGAAAGATGAGAAGCTTACTGGAACTATCACATGCTGAATACATACAGACTTCATTAATACAATCTGGTACTCAACTCAAAACTGGAACAACACACCTGATAGCTACAAATTATGTGAGTGACCTTTATTGTTATATGTGGAGGAAAATAGAGATAGTCGTAGCCAAATAATAATCTAAAAGTTATGCTGATTTGCTTCAGGGACTCGACTTGGGATATGTGATTTTTAATATCCTTTTCTTATTCATGGCATGCTTTGGGGTTTGTAAAGCTGGAAGAGCAAGCTCATAATTGTGGTTCTACAACCAAGCTTGACATTAAACTTCTCATTCCATATCTTCCAAAATTCTCAAGGTCCACATGGGCGGTTACTTGAGCAAGGCCTGCGCTGATTGGAGTGGGAGTGAGGAGGAGCTATAACCAGATTCTCAAACTTAGACTTGAATCACATTGTGTGGATCCCATCACTGAGACTGCTTGGTGTCCCTCACTGCCCTGCTCACTTAGAACAGATGTGACCGTGAAAAATCTGTCTTCCATCTTGATCCCTTTCTCTGTCCACAGATGCTTCACCAGATGGAAAAGGGATGAATTTTTTTCTACAGATGTTTGCTAGCTCAGGACATTTCCAGGATAGTTCTCCTCCTGCCAAGAGTTATCCACGTTAGTGTCATTTGCCTCTAGCTGGTGAAAATAGCACTGGTCCAAACTTTCCTTTGGCATTTAGTTAGATTAAGGAACAACTGAAGCAACCCCACTGCTTACTGATAAAATACCAAAAAAGACTTCTGTTAAAGGAGAAGAAACAAAGAATGACAAAATTTAAGTACATGTAATAAATCTTTGCCTGGCACCTTATGAGAAAATCACATTTTGAAAATAGATTTCCATTTTCAAGGTAGCAGGGAACTTTCAATTCAAAATAATTATTTGATTATATTCCTGGGTTGAGAATGACTCTTCCAGTTATCCGTTTTGTGAGTCAGTGTTTTCTCTATAACAAAGAACGTGGCATTTACACACATTTGTTATCACACACACATGATGTAAGTCTGTTCTTAATGTATATGTGAGCTAAGCCACATGAAAATAATTATGAATGAACTCAGATCTGACTCTGAAGAAACCAGATTTGAATCCAACCTTGTTCTTGTGACTTTGGGCACATCCTTTAACATTTTCTCCATTGAGGAACCAGATATAATAGAGTCTAAGGAGCAAATATGATGCACATTTCTACACAGGAAGTAACTGTGATAAAAGTTTTCTATTCATGCATTCCAAAACAAAATTCACATCTTTGAGAAGAATGCAAGGGGTATCTCCCCTGGAAAAGATATTTTAAATATGGCTTAGAAATGCAAACAGAGGCAGAACAGAATCTCAGTAATTTAGGACTTAATTGGTCTTGCCCAACAATTCACCCCCATGGACTGTTCTGCCATGAACCTTTGCAAAAGTAGGGTTTTGGCACCTACCCAGACTTAGCTTAGAGGAGCCTGTGGAATGCAATGTGTTTGTGGGGGGCAGTGTTGAAGCCAGCCCTGGAGATACATCCCATGCCTGGGTTTCCTCCAGCCTCGAGTCTTTTGTGCTTTTGTAAGCTTTTCAATTACCATTTTGAACACAACATCTTTGAGAGTTACTTTGCTTTGTTAGTTCAGAAGCTCACAAATGGCCCCGACTGTGGGAAATAAAAAGCAAATGAGGAGAAGGAAGTCTTTTACAGAGGAACACTTGTTCTGACTGTAGATTAGGCTCAAGACAAAGCAAGCAGAAAGAGGCAAGCATTTCAAGATCACATCAGCTTTGAAACTTCATGAAGGTCAGGGCAGCTTGCTGGCCAGTAAGCCTTTCACATCTGTTGATGTAACTGCCACTCTGAAAACAAATATTTTAGCATCTTGACTAAGTTACTTGAACTTTTTAAAGAATCGGCATTCAAAGAATACAATATGGTTTTGCAAATACACTAGAGATAAAAACAATACTGGAAACTCTCTTGGCACACTTCTCGATCTTTTTCTGCAAGTACAAACGAGGGGACAAAGCCTTCCCCTGTTATTGACTCTCCTAAGAGAAAATTGTCATGCCACAAATATGATGAAATAACTAAACATGCCACTCAGCAAAGCACATCTCAACCACTGTAAACAGGTGCACAGCTATTTGTAAGGGTAGTGAGTCTGGATATATTTATTTGAAAAAAGAATCAATGATTTTCTAGAATGCATTCACATGCTAAGATATTATGAAATAGAAAAATCATTAGTGGCTCTCCTGTTAGTTAGGAGTAGGAGAAGAAGAGGCACCACACCCACCATGTAAAACTGTGTTGTAAGACACGGTGCAACCAGGCGAAATAAAGCACCTTGAGTCAGGAGAAAAATGTAAGACCACCTCTAGTTTCACATACACCCCTTAAAAGGTAACATAGAAAGAAATACAGAGCCATGTAGAGAAAGATTAAACTAGATCTTGCCCTCAAATAATATTCCAGAAAAAAATCCAAATGCACTAAAGAGGAAAGCGAAAGAAAAGAAAACACACAAATGACACCTATAAAAATTACATGTATTCTTCTATATCATGGGGATGTGGAAAATATTCCAGAATTATTCACTACCCAAAAACAATATAGAAAACACTAGATGCATTGCCTTCTGCAAGGCATTAAAGTAATTTGCACCCAGAATAAGTCTGTGACAGAATTTAGCACAACCTTGTCATTTATATCACCCAGTTTCCAAAAGTAAAGAAGGAAACTAAACTTTCTAGACCCTAAAAGAATAAACTGGCATAAGCAATTTAACAGAAACAGAAATGCAAAGGGCTCTCAGCCTTGCTCATAATGGGAACATGCAAATGAAGGCAACACTGAGGTACCAATTCTCATCTAGCCGGTTGGCAAAAGCTCCAAGTCTTCCCACAAACTCTGTTGGCACGGACGGGGAGACAGTCATTCTTACACATTGTTGTAGGGATACACATTGGCAAAGGCTTGGAAGAACGGAACATAAAAATATTTCACAAACCATAGAAGCATTTATCCTTCCACCAAACTACTCTAATGCTAGGGCACAACCGTATACCAGAGAAATTACTAAGAGACATAGGCACATTTATTTTCTTACATACTCTAAGAACGAATAATAGAAAAATCGCAACGCGTCTGTAGCAGATGACTGAGATGACCATGATGTTCATTGGAGAGCATTTATTTCTGTATGGCTGTGAATTTATCTCCAGGACACCAAGCAGGGCTCTCAACACTGCCTGGGGCCATGAGCTGCTTGCAGCTCTGTCCTGTATCCACTAGATACCCCAGCATCCTTCCTTTTGGTTGTGAATTTTTGAAGTGACTCATGCCAGTTGGGAACAATATACATCTTGTGTTCACTGTAATTCCTAATGTTAATACAAAGTGAAATAGTGTGGTAGGGGATGTGCATGTTATCGCTATATTGACAAAACAGATGAGCGCCCATCTGGTTTTAATAAAAAGTTATCTATAGGAGACAAGGAGAGAGCAGTGAAGCCAAACTTCTTAAATTGTTCAATTTTTTTCTTCAGCGGTCTAACAAATATATTTTGATTATATCCACCCCACCCCCTCTCTGATTCCTTCCCCAGTCCCTCTGCATCCTCCCTTCCCAACAATTCTCCCCTTACTTTTATGCCCTTTTTATGAACTGGGAACCTAAGCTTCTCCAAATACACTTTTGGTATGATTTTAAAATGACGAAAAAGATTAAATGTTGAAAAAGCAAGTGCACCCAAACATAACTGACATATTTTCTTATTCAACAGTAATTTTGAACTGGGCACACTCAGGGATAACCTCTTTAGGCACTAGGAAATCTGCCTGCCCCAATGCCGTCTTCCGTGAACACGTCTAGGTTCCACAATAAAGTCCCAGGACTCCATTTGTTCAACAAGGCCTTGCTTTAAAGTCACTCCTGGACACTCCCTATTGATTCAGCTAGCAAATCACTATCTATCCTTTAAAACAAGTTCTAAGGTATGGAAATAAGTGGAAGCAGATTACCTTACATGTGAATCCAGGACTGGAGAAGAATTAAGGATGTTAGTCATCTAACTTAACTTTGAGTTCCTATTTGGAAGTTCTTCTCAAGAACAAGAGAGCTGGAAAACAGTATGAACTTGTTTTGAATAACTGTAATAGAAATGCAGACTTTATTATTCTGAGTCCTTTGGATTCATATTTCAAGCCAAACAATGACTAATTATGATCTTGTCACTGAACATAAAAAATGTCAGCATCAGAAGAAGGAAAAGCAAATGCAGAAACAATGTCACCAAGTAAAATCACTAAATTCGGATACATATTTGTGAAGTCAAGATTTTTTTAAATTCCCTCCTAATTTCATCCAGTGGATGAAAGCAAAATTTAAGTCAATCCACTAGCAAGAATTTCCAGGAGTAGATTGCAGTCTCCAAATATCATTTATAACAAAAGAAAGAGAAGGAGATACAAAAGATTTTTGGTGCAATGGATAATTCAAGAATAGAATAGAAAATGTTCAAGACAATCCTAACAATAATACCAGTTCTTGCAATTACCAGAAAGCAAGGGAACTGGCTGAGAGTGTAGTTCAATAGCAAAGTGCTTACCCAGCACAGCAAGATCCTAGGTTCAGTTCCTCACACATCAAAATCAATCAATCAAAGAAGGGAGGAAGGGAAAAAAGAAGAAAGAGGAAAAATTGAGAGAATACCAGGATTGTGTTAGAAAAACTAAGTGCCAACCTGAAGACAATCCTACTGTTAACATGAATACTGCAGTCAAACATGATCAAAACAGCCGAGGCACCCAAGGACAAATTCTTCCTCTGATCATGCTAGAAACCCTACTACTACTATTTTGCTGAGTATGAGTGTAGTGCTCAGCCACAGATGACACACTCCCTACCTTGGCCAGTGTTCAGAGAATATCACAGAAGAGGGGGCTTAAAGCTGGAGAGAGATAGAGGTTGGGGAGGACTGGAGTGAAACAGTATCTTCTGTGCAGGACAGGACTGTTGGCCCCCATGATCTCATAGTAGCTGTTGTCACCTGCATAAGACCTAGACAAGATCAAGCCAGTCAGCATTCCAGCATGGAAACGAGAGAAGGGCATGAGATACCACCTTAACTGAAGACCTCTAACAGTTAATGACTTCTGGGGGAGGGAGAGTCAGTTTATTTAAGGGTGTGGTCACTGGTAGCTAACCATACTCCACTGGATTATCCCACACCTGTGAGTATATGAAGCCCAAATTGAACTCAGTGAATGCTTGTTAAGAGGTGTGGGGAGCGTGACACTCTAGACCTAGGAGGTAGGCAGTGGATTTGGGAGGTCTCAGGGGGATAGGAAGGTGAATATGATCAAAATGCCTTAAATGAAATTTTCAAGGAGTTAACAAAATATTAAAAAAAGAAGTTTGTTGGTTAGTTTTATATAAATTTGCCAAAAGCCAGAGTCATTTGGGAAAAGGGACTCACAATTGATAAAATGCAAACCTGTCTGGAATTTTCTTGATTAATTATTGGTGTGAGAGGGCCCACCCACTGGGGGTGATGCTACTTCAGGGCAGATGGTCCTGAGGTGTACAAGAAACCAAGCTAAGTGTCCCTCCATTACCTGCTTTAATCCCTGCCCCGGGTTCTCACCTGGAGTTCCTCCCCTGACTTTCTTTGATGATGGACTGTGATATTGAGATGTAAGGTTAGTTGCTTTTGGTCATGATCTTTATCACAACAACAGAAACCTTAAATAATACAGGAATGCAGACCAAAACTTGACAGAGCATAATTACACTTAAAAACATTCATCGTTGCCCGCTCTCAGTGGAGCTAAGAAAGTAACAGCTTATTTTGAACTAGAGGAAAGAACTGATGACTATCCTGTCTGTCTTCAACATAATGAGCAAGTAGTAATCAAAGGTCGGAGAAGTTTATTTTACAGACCTTTCCCAGCTAACAATCGAGAGAGGGATCGTAGAATCAGAACACTAAACACTTTATAGATTAGTCTTAAATGATCACCAATGACTGCTAACATCATAGTATAAGAGAAACACCAAATAGGGTACATCTGCAGAAGAAGAACATGTGTCACTCAAGAAGGATGTTTGTAAAAGTAAGTAAAACTGAAAAGGAACTTGCACCTGAATCACACCATGACTCCTAGACCATACTACCAATTCGTAACAAATATAAGGGTTGAGAATATAGAGAAAAACCACGAGGATGCTACAAGCAAAATTCAGACTGGGAACTAAATTAAAAAGATCTCAGTCTCTTCCACAGCAACAATCAGAAGAAAATCAAGAAGATTTACAAAGAGGTAGAGGGAAATTCTGCAAATTAAAGCATGAAAGGACATGTTAAATACAATGCTTGAACCTTTACATTATGATTAAAAGAAGTTTACATATGCATACATACAGTAATTTAACAGTGGAGAAATATTAGCATAGGTTGTACATTTAATATTAAAGAATTACTAGGGTTTTTTTTCTTTTGTTTTGTTTGAGATTGGGACAATAAAGCTGTGGTAGGTATGTGTACACGTGTCTTTATTTATTCTGAGAGTCCCGAGCGCGTAGAAATGCATACTGAAATGATGTGATAGCTGTGATTTGCTTCACAACCATCTGGGTGGCAGGTAGGGATGGCTAGAAAGACCATGGAAGCCAGACTAGATAAGATCTGATCACTGTCAAGGCTGAGTGATTCAAGTAACACCTCTACACCTACCCAGAAGATTCCATAACAAGGGGCCTCATGAAGAAGCAATGGTGGCTTAGTACTGGAGCTATCTGAGCAAGCTTTTAGCTAGTCTTCTCTCAAAGAACAAGTACAGGGTGAGGCTATGGATGCCGAGAAGCTCTGACTGCATCCAATTCACCTCCATTCCCTCCTTCCTTCACCCTGTCTAATCTTGATTTCTTTCCTCACTTTGTATTAATTACTGTTTTCATTGTTGTAAAAGAAATACCTGGCAAGACAACTTAAAGGTTTATTTTTCCTTATATGTTGTGGAGATACATTCAAGCATGGCAGCAGGAGTTTGAGGTCACTAGTTAGCTTGCTCCCTTTTCTTTTCCTTTGTACTCAATTTGGTACCCTAGCTCACGGGATGCTGCCACTAAAATTCAAGATGGCTCTTCCATCCTCTGTTAAACCTCTAGAAACGCCCTCAAAGCCATATCTAGAAGTGTGTCTCCCAGGAGATTCCTGGTCAAGTCAACAGTGAAGATTAATCCCTCCCTGCACTCCTGCTATGCTAGCCTACCATAAGGAATGGCATACAGATAGGACTTTAGGCAACAGAAACCTCCAAATGAAAGCCACCTTGTAATCATTCACACTGTGCCTCAGATCAGTCTATGGAACTATCTCCTCTCATGGATGCCTCAGCTGTTCCATTATTAATGAGATTATAGATGCAATCATAATTGATGTTGCTGCTAATGTGAACTGATGGTTTACTGCCAGCTACTTACTGGCAGAATGTTTTTTTATAGGAGAGCTTGTTGTGTGTTGAGATTGCTGATAGAAGCTAGGATACAAGGATACAAAGAGAGGAAATAAAAAGGTGACCTCTTTCAGTGGCAGTGAGTGAGTTCGGGTTCCTTATCACTCTTGCCTTCTTTTGACTACAGGTATTTATCAAAGTGCTGGATAATAATGATAATGGCCCAGAATTCTCCCAGCCACATTACGATGTGACAATTTCTGAGGATGTGCTTCCGGATACAGAAATACTTCAGATTGAGGCCACAGACAGAGATGAGAAGCATAAGCTAAGCTACACCATCCACAGTAGCATCGATGCCATCAGCATGAGAAAGTTTCGGATGGACCCCAGCACAGGCGTGCTCTACACTGCTGAAAGGCTGGACCATGAGGCCCAGGACAAGCACATCCTCAACATAATGGTAGGACCAGACTCGCAATTTTGCTTTCCTGACAGAACCGTTAACCAGCCAAGGCATATACCTCAGTCTTCAGAAAGCCAGGGCCCTTAAATTCTGTAAATCTAGACTTTGCACTGTCAGGGTACATTCAGTTTTGCCTTTGTATTTCAATGAAGAAGTTACTCTTCTTAGAAAGCAACTCCATAGTTTTTGTCAACCTGAAGTATTAGATAAATTCTGCAGATATTGGCTGTTCAGGAAATGCTATTCACAGACGGATTAGAGAGTCAAGCCACAGTCAATGTTCCCAACTCACGGGTTTGTCTGGAGCCAGGAGATTGTGTGGGAAAGTTGAAAGAAGCCCCTGAAGAAGTTCTTCACAAGGGTGACCCTTTGCTCAACCCACAGGAAGCTCAATCCTTGGAAGTATTTGGGGATCCCATTTCTGATGTATTGCATTGGTGTTGGACCTATGGGTAATACTGGTGACCCCAAAAGAACTGAACATGCATTAAATCTTCAGAGACTCTTGGTTCTGAATTCATTTACCTTCCTTCAAATTATGTAGATGTGGCTAAGAAAGATGAGTAAGAATTCTCATTGATTCACTTATGGCCTATAATCTGTCCATGAAATAAGCCCCAGAACAACATTGACATGCACAGTCCCTGCCTCTCAAGGCCTCTATTACACTCCTGAAAAACAGGAATGGTGACTGTGATTTAATCTGCACATATTGAGTTTGGGATGCCTAAAATTATGAATTCCCAAGTAATCCACAACAGTAACAACTTTTGCCTTCACTGAAATCTTCTTGTACAAGAGACAACTTGAGTGCCATGATCTCAGCTACAGTTTCTACTTAAGACACCAGGAGACAGAAGGGACAGTTCCCAGAGGCCACTTGATTCACCACCATGGCCATTCATTCATTCATTCATCCATTCATCCTTTCACAGATATTCTTTAGCCCATATTGCACAGCAAGCACTCTCACAAACACTGAGATAAAAATCCTCATACTCTTGAAGCTAGTATTCAATTCATTCAAAAAAGTCTCCAGAGAGAGTTAGGTTATACCCTTGGGCATGGACAAGCAAGCTATAGAATTTCAGCATGGCACGCTGACCATGATGATGTTTACATGATATTTTAGGAGCAGAAACCTCACAGTGGTGAATAATCCCATTTTCATCGTTTTTCGAGTAATTTCTGTTCATCCTCTTTCAGCACACTCAAAAATCAGGGTCACCCACTGTCATCCATCATTTATGTAGTTAGATGCTTAGGACAAATGACTGCTTTAGGCCACCTTCTTCCAAGCCTCCCTTGCTCATTTCTACCATGTCCTAGTCATAAAAATTCCTTTCTCCTTGATAGATCCTCTTGTAAGTGTTACAATGTCTGCACATTTCTCTGGAATTATACAGCTCAAAATTGAACAAGCCAAGAGTATTAATTCAATTAATGATACATCAAATAGTAACAGACCCACACGGATAAAGAATAGATTATTTATAAGCTTCTGTCCTATGCAATTCAGGGGAATCTTAAAGTCCAGGAAAATCAGACTGAGGGTTCTTAGAAGTTATGACTGAATGCATCTTTCTAGTGGTCAAGGTTCTCTAGTAGGTCTGGGCTCTGCCTGCCTAAAAATAGTCACCTGTCATCATCACCCTCATGTTATTCCTTCCACCTTTTCATTGTTATTTCATCCAGGAAGTTGAGTGTTAGAATATATTCCTCTTCCTACTCACTGTGAGGGCCTTATATGTATTCCATGCTGGCATTTAAGTGCTTGGTATTATGCTTTTCTGTGGCTTGCTTGCACTACCCCCTTCAAAGATCCCAGTCTTCTTGAGGACACAGACTGCCTAGTTCGTTACTGAGCCATTCTACTTATGCCATGAGCCTGACATTATAAATAGCAGTACATGTTAGTTAATGAATGAATGAATGAATGTAACAATACTGCATTTACTAGTCCCATCCCCCAGAAGGTTCTCTGTCTACCATCCCATGACTAAATATAAACACACAACAATGACTGTGGGGACCAAATGAGAGAACTGGGCTTGTGGTACCCAGGTGTTACATCACAGACCAAGCATCAAGGGAGACAATAGAGATGATGCTGCCTTGCTCTCAGATGGCTCACAGCCTCAGTCTTTCCCTCCCAATCTCCCTCCCACCTTCTCTCTCTCTTCTGTCATGCCACTGTCTGTTGAGTGCTTTGTAGCTGTGCGAGACTGGGTCACGCACTTTGCGCGAATTCTCTCATTTTGTTTTCTCAGCAAACATAGCCATGTGAGTTCTTTGCAATTCAAGTTTTTAGTCCTACCGCTTCTTGTATTTTGCCTAAAGGTCAGAGATCAGGAATTTCCTTACCGAAGAAACTTGGCCCGAGTCATTGTGAACGTGGAGGATGCTAACGATCACAGCCCTTACTTTACCAGTCCACTGTATGAAGCATCGGTGTTCGAGTCAGCTGCTCTGGGATCAGTTGTTCTGCAAGTGACAGCTCTGGACAAAGACAAAGGGGAAAATGCAGAGCTCATATATTCCATAGAAGCAGGTGAGAGCTGCAGAGACCTCAGCACAAAGTGTGACCCCCCCACCCTCAACGGAGAGCCCACCCTATAAACTCACCAACCCATTTGTGCAATGGTGTGTATAAAGCTCTTAGCATTTCAATATTGGCAACAAGGGAAGAGCTTCCTTCCTTGAATTCAATCCTGGAGTTTTCTGAAATGAAGAAAAGAAGTGTGTAATGGGTTCAGTGGCTCAGAACCGGAAACCGACAACTCATGGACTCATTCTAAAATAACCACAGTTGGGTTCACTTACCAGTGGGTGGGCTGCAGACTTCAGGAGCCCCAGCATACCTAACAGGGACACAAACACCTTGCCTAGGTTGGAGGCAGACTGAGCAACCAAGCCCTTGGTGGCTATGACCCTGAACTGCTTGCTTAACCAGACAGATAAACAAATAAGAGCATGTGTGTTAAATCATAGCACTTTTCCAAGGACGCTAACATTGGAAGAGCAGTTTATAGATGGTTTGAAGGTGGATAGCTGAAAAACACTGGGGACGGAGAAAAAGCAAGAAAAAAAAGACCATGAAACTAAAAATGGCAAGTCCCTCTTATCTGTTCTGTGTTCCTCCGTTCCACTGTTTCTGAATATTCATGCTGCACATTCCCCAAGTGTTGTACAGCATGCCTGTGGTGTGCAATGCCAAATGTACATTCTCTCAGTGACAGCAAGGGGACAGTTTCCTGCCCTGCTCTTAAATGTAGAGCATTTGAGTGAGCAGCCGGACTAAAATAAGCATGGCAGGAAACTAGTTTGGGAGTAGAAACTTGAGAAAAAACAAAGCCAATAACATTATAAAAAGCCCCTGTATCAAACAATAATCTAAAAACTACTTTTTAGGTTAGGTGTCATGTTTTAGACTGGTCAGTGTTACCATCCACACAGAAGATGTTGCTCGTTAATGGCCATGTGTCTACAGAGTTTTCCCATGTGTTACTGTAGGGGTTTCCATAGATCTAAACCTACTGAGAAACCGTTATCTACCTCGTTTGCCACAGAATATTGTTACTGCCGTGCTAAGTAATCTTTGCTGCTCTAGCTTACAAATAAGGAGACTAAGAAATGAGTATAAACTACCACAGGAAGCATTTTCCGTCTGTCCATCCTAGTGTTCTTCCTAAGGTTCCATCAAATCTTATCTTTTCCTTTCCCTGTACCCATCCATATGCATCACCTCATGTCACCATAAACATTTGATGCAAGGCTTTATTTCCGTCGTTCTTACCATTTTATGGACACTTACCTGCTTATTATATTTATACATTTACTATTTTTATTCCTTGGGCCTCAGATGATTTTTAAAATAATGTGTAGGGACTCGAGAAACATATTAGTTATATCCCTGAGAACACTATTTCTCTCGCATTTTTACTTCCATGACTGGAGCATGGAGCTCAATCATTTTTTTTTTTTTTGGACAACTGACTAAAGTACAAAAGAAAAGCTATTTCTTTAAAACATATTTTACATAGAAGACCTGAATTTCCAGAAAATTATAATTTTAGGAATGATAGATATCTAAAAAAAAAACTAGCCTTTGATTGTATGCATCAGAGTCTAAAGAGAACTACAGTGTGCTTGACAAACCTGTCATAGACATTCAGCCCTTCTAAAAACACAGCCTATGCCTGGGCCTGTCTGTCCCTTATGCACACACACAGCCCTACCAAGCATGCCTGCCGCTCATACTCAGCCCAATCTCCCCCCACACACACACACCGTGCTAGCCTGTCCTTCACACACACAGCCTTGATCTCTAGATTGCCTGTCACACACACACACACACACACACACACACACACACACAGCCCAATCCCCTGGCCTGCCTGACCCCCAGCTATCACACACACACACACAGCCAGACCACAGGCTTGCCTGTCCCTCACATACACACAGCCTTGATCTCTAGATTGCCTATCACACACACACACACACACACACACACACACACACTCAGCCCAATCCCCCCACACGCACACACCCTGCTAGCCTGTCCTTCACACACACAGCCTTGATCTCTGGATTGCCTGTCACACACACACACACACACAGCCCAATCCCCTGGCCTGCCTGACCCCCAGCTATCACACACACACACACACACACACACACACACACACAGCCAGACCACAGGCTTGCCTGTCCCTCACATACACACAGCCTTGATCTCTAGATTGCCTAACACACACACACACACACACACACACACACACACACTCAGCCCAATCCCCCCACACACACACACCCTGCTAGCCTGTCCTTCACACACACAGCCTTGATCTCTGGATTGCCTGTCACACACACACACACACACACACACACACACAATCTTATCTCTGGCCTGGCTGTCCTACACACACACACACACACACACACACACACACACACACACACACACACAGAGCCAGACCACGGGCCTGCCTGTCTCTCACACACAGCCTGACTTGGGACCTGCAGAGCCCTCACAGAGCAGCTGAACAAACGTCTTTTCAGGTGATGGAAAGTAAGGGGTGGTTGTATAAAATGTTTGGTTTTATTGAACTTGTCTCACAAGCCTCAGATAAGCCAGATTTTATTCTGTTTATTGGTGGGCTATAAAATTCCTATTGTTTGCCTGGCCTCTAAAGTCACACTGGAGCTTTTTCTTTGGACTGAAGCACAGTGTGTGTGGGTGGCTGGGTGGGGGGATGGCAGAACTTTGAGTCTTGTATAGGTTTGTTAGCATTGCCTGTAATACAGCAAAACAGAAGGCAGCAAGGTTAGAAACATACTGGATCCTAAACTGCGGTACACCTGCCTCTCCTATTGGTCATTCTACAGTAATTATTGAGTCCTATGTTTGTGGCAGCTGCTATATTGTGTACCAGATAAGCAAGGACAACACAGCTTCAGCCACGCTGCCAAAAGTCTCCAGGAGCCACATATTCCAAGAAAATAATAAGACATTCATTTCCTAAAGATTCATGAGTACAGGGAAGAATAAACAAGTAGCCAGTTCCAAAGGAAATTCAATATATTGAAGAGGTAAAGAGCAGAGAGGCCCAGCTTGGGCCTGACATGGGATCACAGCACCCTGGAAGGGTGTGTCATGTGACTCCACAGTGATGGGACAGCAGGGTATGAAAATATGCCTTAACTTCATTCCTTCTGTAAAATTCCATTGACCTAGAGTGATGCAGGGCTCACATATACCGGCTGTGAGGTAGGACACTGACATCAATGAACATGGACATAGCACTGTTAGCATCCTTTGGTCAAAGCTGTGTACCACTACATCACCTGGAAAGGACCACTGCGTGGGTGACACGGATGCTGGGCTTGCACTTACTTAGCAGAAACATTTATACTATCAGCCCTCGTATTTCCCATGGCAGATGCTCCATTTCACAGGATCTGTGCCTCCCACGTGTGTGGTTTCAAGGACAGTTTTGATGATCATCACTCTTCTGCTTCACCCGAAGGTTCCCTAGTATGGAGTAAACAGAATGGCTATAGATCAGAGTAACCATTTTGCATTTCTTATGTCTGCATTTGCATCTGTGCCTGTGTGTACTCACACAGTACAGAAACGGGACAGGAAACAATAGGGGAAGGGGGGCCCCGAAGAAATCCTTAAAACTTTCAAAGCAAGCAATGACTTAGAAGAATTCCTGGCTCACCAAAGTCACCTTTGGAGAAAGCCAGTTTTCATGTGAAAAAGTAGCATGTATTCCACATCTAGAGCCTACCAGAGCTATGACCTGAAACCGAGTGACAATGATGGTATTCTGATCCTATTCCTACAGTGCTCTTTTTAAAAGATTAAGACAGAAACTACAGCACTATTATAGTACTGACATATATTCATTCTATATTTACAGTTATGACATTTACACACTCACATAGGCAGATGTATTAGTGGAGATATATGCCAGTCCCATCTATCCCTCTTCTCACGGGTCCAGGGACAAGGAAACCCCATACATTCCAAGCAGAACAACTTTTCTGCAAGTGCCCCTATTTCCCAGTTCAAGTATGTACACAGTGCTATATTGTTGCTAGTCATTTTATCCTGGATTGAGAAGCTACTGAATTGATATAAGTTTATTAGGAATCATCTGAGTTGTTTCTTAATATCATAGAAAAATGTGCTCCTTTTGCTATCAGAATGATTGGGAGAGGATATGAAGAGCTGCTCACTGCTGACTGAATTGTCGACAAGTGCCGTAAGAGGAAGTTGAATCTCCACAGAAGACTTTAATGACCCTTTTGTAACTCATTTCTCCATTGATCTCTGTCTTTTAGGGAACACGGGGAACACATTTAAGATCGAACCAGTCCTGGGCATCATTACCATCTCCAAAGAGCCAGACATGACAGCCATGGGTCAGTTTGTCCTGTCAGTTAAAGCCACGGATCAAGGCTCTCCACCAATGTCTGCCACTGCAATTGTACGCATCTCCATCAGCATGTCTGATAACTCCCACCCCAAGTTCACGCACAAAGACTATCAAGCTGAAGTAAATGAAAACGTTGATATTGGAACTTCTGTCATCCTGATCTCTGCCATCAGCCAGTCAACCCTCATTTATGAGGTCAAAGATGGAAACATCAATGGAGTCTTTACCATAAATCCATATTCTGGAGTCATCACCACACGGAGAGCTCTGGATTATGAGCAGACCTCTGCCTATCAACTCATCATCCAGGCCACCAACATGGCAGGCATGGCTTCCAATGCCACTGTCAGCGTTCAGATTGTGGATGAAAATGATAACCCCCCAGTGTTTCTCTTCTCTCAATACTCAGGCAGCCTGAGTGAGGCCGCCCCCATCAACAGCATTGTCAGGAGCCTAGACAACAGCCCATTGGTGATCCGAGCCACGGATGCTGACAGCAACCAAAATGCATTACTGGTTTACCAGATTGTGGAGTCCACAGCCAAGAAGTTCTTCACAGTGGACTCCAGCACAGGGGCCATCAGAACAATCGCCAATCTAGACCATGAGACCATTGCACATTTCCATTTCCACGTGCATGTGAGAGACAGTGGGAGCCCCCAGCTGACTGCAGAGAGCCCCGTTGAAGTCAACATTGAGGTGATAGATGTGAATGATAACCCACCTGTGTTCACTCAGGCTGTGTTTGAGACGGTCTTACTTCTCCCCACCTACGTAGGCGTGGAGGTTCTGAAGGTGAGTGCCACAGACCCTGACTCTGAGGTACCCCCTGAACTGACATATAGCCTCATGGAAGGGGGTGTGGATCATTTTTTCATGGACCCAAATAGTGGAGTGCTCACCATAAAAAACAACAATCTCTCCAAAGATCATTACATGCTGATAGTCAAAGTATCTGATGGCAAGTTCTACGGTACTGCCATGGTCACTGTCACGGTTAAAGAAGCCATGGACAGTGGCCTGCACTTCACACAAAGCTTCTACTCAACCTCCATCTCAGAGAACAGCACAAACATAACCAAAGTTGCTATTGTCAATGCAGTTGGAAACCGCCTTAACGAGCCCTTAAAATACAGCATCTTAAACCCAGGAAATAAATTCAAGATAAAATCTACCTCAGGAGTCATTCAGACCACAGGAGTACCCTTTGACCGCGAAGAACAGGAGTTATACGAGCTGGTGGTGGAAGCCAGCCGTGAGCTAGACCATTTGCGGGTGGCAAGGGTGGTAGTCAGGGTTAACATTGAAGATGTAAATGACAACTCTCCTGTCTTTGTGGGCCTCCCTTACTATGCTGCTGTGCAAGTCGATGCTGAGCCAGGGACTCTAATATACCGGGTGACAGCCATCGACAAAGATAAAGGTGCCAATGGAGAAGTGACCTACATCTTGCAGGGTGACTATGGCCACTTTGAAATTAACCCTAATTCAGGGAATGTGATTTTAAAAGAAGCATTCAACTCAGACCTCTCCAACATTGATTACGGAGTCACCATCCTCGCCAAGGACGGTGGCAACCCATCTCTATCCAAATCAGTGGAACTTCCTATAACCATTGTTAACAAAGCAATGCCTGTGTTTGATAAGCCCTTCTATACAGCCTCCATCAATGAAGACGTCACAATGAACACTCCCATTCTCAGTATCAACGCCACCAGCCCAGAAGGCCAGGGGATCATATACCTCATCATTGATGGGGATCCCTTCCAACAGTTTAACATTGACTTTGACACAGGGGTCCTGAAGGTCATTAGTCCTTTGGATTACGAAGTCACATCTGTTTACAAGTTGACGGTGCGAGCCAGTGATGCTCTTACAGGTGCCAGGGCTGAAGTCACTGTGGATGTGCTGGTGGATGACGTCAATGATAACCCTCCTGTTTTTGATCAGCCCACTTACAACACAACACTATCTGAGGCATCTCTCATTGGAACCCCTGTTCTGCAACTCGTCTCAACGGATGCAGACTCGGGAAACAACAAGCTGGTGCATTATCAGATTGTCCAGGACACCTACAACAGCACAGATTACTTTCACATTGATAGCTCAAGTGGCTTGATCCTGACAGCAAGGATGCTAGACCATGAGTTGGTGCAACACTGCACGTTGAAAGTCACAGCAACCGATGATGGCTTTCCATCCATGAGCAGTGAGGTCCTGGTTCACATCTACATTTCTGACGTCAATGACAACCCCCCAGTTTTTAATCAGCTCATTTATGAGTCCTATGTGAGTGAATTAGCCCCCAGGGGTCATTTTGTAACCTGTGTGCAAGCCTCAGATGCGGACAGCTCTGACTTCGACCGGTTGGAATACAGCATTTTATCCGGGAATGACCGAACCAGCTTTCTGATGGACAGCAAGAGCGGAGTCCTCACACTATCTAGCCACAGGAAGCAGCGCATGGAGCCTCTGTACAGTCTCAACGTGTCTGTGTCTGACGGGCTGTTTACCAGCACTGCTCAGGTGCACATCAGAGTGCTTGGAGCTAACTTGTACAGCCCCGCCTTCTCACAAAGCACCTATGTAGCTGAGGTGAGGGAGAACGCAGCCTCTGGGACAAAGGTCATCCATGTCCCAGCCACAGATGGGGATCCAGGAACATACGGACAGATCAGCTACTCCATCATCAATGACTTTGCCAAGGATCGATTCCTCATAGACAGCAATGGACAGATCATCACAACAGAAAGACTAGACCGCGAAAACCCTCTGGAAGGAGATATTAGCATTTATCTGCGGGCCCTGGATGGCGGAGGGAGAACGACATTCTGCACTGTACGGGTGATTGTGGTAGATGAGAATGACAATGCCCCTCAGTTCCTGACAGTGGAGTATAGGGCCAGCGTCAGGGCCGATGTAGGAAGGGGACACTTAGTCACTCAAGTTCAAGCTTTGGATCCGGATGATGGAGCAAATTCTAGGATTACATATTCTCTCTACAGTGAGGCCTCCGTCTCAGTGGCCGACCTCTTGGAAATTGATCCTGATAATGGCTGGATGGTGACCAAGGGCAACTTTAACCAACTAAAAAATACAGTTCTGTCCTTCTTTGTGAAAGCAGTGGACGGTGGCATCCCAGTCAGGCACTCCCTCATTCCCGTCTACATCCATGTCCTGCCCCCTGAGACATTCCTGCCTTCATTCACCCAGTCACAGTACTCCTTTACCATTGCAGAAGATACAGCCATTGGAAGCACAGTGGACACCCTGAGGATTCTGCCCAATCAGAGTGTTCGGTTCAGCACGGTTAATGGAGAGCGGCCAGAGAATAACAAAGAGGGTGTCTTTATCATAGAACAGGAGACAGGCGCCATCAAGCTCGACAAACGCCTTGACCATGAAGTCAACCCAGCTTTCCACTTCAAAGTGGCAGCTACTATACCCCTGGACAAGGTGGACATCGTATTCACTGTGGATGTAGATGTGAAGGTACTGGATCTGAATGACAACAAGCCAGTCTTCGAAACATCAAGCTACGAGACAATCATAATGGAGGGGATGCCTGTCGGCACGAAGCTTGCCCAGGTGAGAGCCGTAGACATGGATTGGGGAGCCAACGGGCAGGTCACTTACTCCCTACACTCGGATTCCCATCTCGCAAAGGTAATGGAAGCCTTCACTATCGACAGCAACACAGGGTGGATCAGTACACTGAAGGACCTGGACCATGAGGCAGGCCCTGCCTTCTCCTTCTCTGTGGTGGCTTCTGACCTGGGAGAGGCTTTCTCTCTTTCCTCCATGGCTCTGGTCTCAGTCACGGTGACAGACATAAATGACAATGCACCAGTCTTTGCTCACGAGGTGTACCGAGGGAACGTGAAGGAGAGCGACCCGCCCGGAGAGGTGGTAGCTGTTCTCAGCACCTTGGACAAGGATACCTCCAACGTAAATCGCCAAGTGAGCTACCACATCACCGGTAAGTCCCATCACCGGGCCTGACCGTGCGCTCTGCTTACTGCGGAAAGATGGGCAACGCCAAACAGCAGGAGGATGAGATGGGGGCGGGAGTGGAGGACCTTCCTGGTTCTGAGTGAGAAATCTGACTACATGAGGGGATTCCCCATGGTTGGTTCTTCACCTGGCCACAGTCAGCAATGTTCTTACAGCAGCTGGCGCAAACCTTAATATCGCTTCCTGTTGTTTAAAAAAAAAACATGTAAAATATCTTAATTGAAGGAATTAAAATAACAGCTCTTTTTAGTCAGAAGAGGTGTTTTTAAACTTTAATTCCCCCTCTGAGCTTTTAATAATACTAAAAAAAAACCAATGGTCTGAACCCATTAAGCTTTCTGTCCGGCTTTGCTCTGATTATAAGACTGTTGTCACACACGCACATGGAAATTACAAGTCCCAGTTTGACCTTTTGCTGAGAAATTATACATTTGTAACTCATGGTCAAAGAACATTTCTATTGGCATCCCTGTTTCCCTGGGATGCCTGCTTGTCTTCCCCAATAGTAAGTTGCTGCTCACCAGAAAAACCAAGATAGACAAATAAGGTCATTAAGAGTGCACCAAAAAACATCATCATTGCTCTGCCAGGTTGCAGTATTCACATCAGAGTGAACAGTTTGCCCCTGCTCAAAGCAGCCTTCAAGAACGAAGAGGAAGGGTGGGCGGTGTTAGGAAATTCCTTCCTAAAAATCATTTGGGGCCTTAGATCCAACACCTTGATGCTGAAATATTCAGAGCCAGAACATGCCACATGCCAAAAGATTTTAAGTAACCCATCAATACCTGTAGTCAGGTGGCTTTCCCTTAGAAAAAACCACATTATTCCTAGTGAAAACTGAATTAATTAGGATGCCCTCAGGACACTGATTCTGCTTAAGTCTGTTAGTGGAAAAGTTAATTAATCACTGCCGAATAAGGTCTGTACTGGAGCAAACACTGGAAGCTTGTGATGGTCACACTTCCCCGAGGTTGTATCTTTCAAGGAGCTGGCATTTCTCATGTAAGAACCCTTTTTGTATTTTGTGCTTTCTCTGAAACATGGCATCTTACTCCATAAAAATGTGTATTTTGGCAGTTAAAACAGAGAGCAGATAGAAAATAAGCAAGGATTCAACTTATTTGCATCCAGTTTTGGGGGGAAGACACTCTGAGGGACCCTTTGTTGAATACCCAGCCTTAGTGATTTTCACATGGCCTCTGAAGGATCAGTAGATGATTTAAAGGACAGCCCACCAGCTTCACTAGTCATGAGTGCAGCGCAGCTTACAGCCCCTCATACTATTAGCAGAGCCAACCACCAACTGATTTTAATTAGATTTAAGCTTTGCTCTTGATGTAACACAAGTTGCCTGTGCTGCCTCAGACTAACAAAGGAACATTAATCATTTTATGTAACAAAGGAATGGTGTGGGCTTGCCTGCATTGAAGGCGTTTAATAGAGAGGTTAAATCTGTGTGTGTGCTCAAATAGTATTCAACTAGAGCACAATTGAATTCTAGCCAGTGGTGGCAGAAAGTGATATTACAGGGAGGACCCTGAGTCTCCTAAGGCAGGGTTTCTCATTCTCTGCCACCAACACTCGGGGCTGGGCAAGTCTCTTGTGGTAGGTAGGCCCCTCTTTATATATGGTAGGTTATTTCACAGCCACACCCACGGGATTCCAGTAGTATAGAGACTCAAAACCATCCTGTGACAACCAAAAATATCTACACAAGATAAAAAATTCCTATAGAAAGGAGGGAACCATTGACCTAGAAGAACAATGAGTCATCTAATATGTCTTGGGTCCAGTAATCCTGTGATTTCTTACAGTGAAGAAGAGGTCTTGGAACCAGTGTAATGCTAAGAAATCTAGGACCATGTGGTTGCCTTTTCATAAAAATAAGATAAAAAAGATTGATTATGAAGTGAGCCAGTTCCATTCTTATAGTTTGCAATAGATATTTTCCTTATTGTTTTGTTTATTGCATCCAAGGATAAATTTAGGTGCATTCATTTGTTTGTTTTGCTCTTCACTCACTATGTGACCACTCTGGCTTTGAACTCATGACCTTCCTATATCAGCCTCACAGTGTTGGCATTACAGTCATGTACCACTATACCAAGCTTCACATCAAAACGGTAAACAGCTTATTTGAGGAAAGGAAAGGAAGAGTCTGCAGCTTCACTGTGAATTGAGCTGACTCTAATGAGATCTCCAGAGATCTACAAGGATAACACCATCTGACAAACTAAACAATAGTGGAGAGACTACACTAATAGCCCCTCCTTAATGATAGGGTTGATGACTACCTTATATGCCATCCTAGAACCTTCATTCAGTGACTGATGGAGGCAGAGACTGATAATCACAGCTAAACACTGAACTGAACTCCTGGAACCCAGTGATAGAGATGGAGGAGTGATGAGCAAAGGGGTTAAGACCATGATGATGAAACCCACAAAGACAGCTGACTGGACAAGGGGGAGCTCTTGAATCCCAGACTGATGGCTGAGAGGCCAACAGGAGACTGATCCAGACTCCATGAATGTAGTGCCACGGAGGAGGCCACAGGAATCACTGGGGCCTTGGGTAGTAGATCAGTGTTCTACTGTTCTACCATGGTTTACGAATGAGCTTTGGGAGCCCAAATAGAGGGATGCTATCTCAGCCTGGACACATGGGAAAGGGCCTAGGTCCTGCCCAGGATAAAATGACAGACTTTAGAGATCCCCCCCACCCAAGGAGGGTCTCACCCTCCCTAGGGAATGATGTGTGGTTTGGGTAGGGGGCTGAGGGGCTGGTGGAGGGACAAGGGAGGAGGGGTGGGAGAGAGAGCTGGGACTGACATGTGAAACATTCACATTTCTAATTTAAATAAAACATATATTGAGAGGAAAAAAAGAGAGAAGCTGCAGACTCTTCAGAGCCCCGCCGAAGGGGCAGGAGGGACAGGTGCTTCTAGGATGCTCATGCAATCAAAACCAAAGTGCGTGTTGTTGATTAATGTGGAATAGTAAACAGAGGTTAGCTGGTGGATTCTTTTGGTAATGTTTGTCTTTTAGCATTCCCATAGGGTGGGGGTTTGGGCTACATCCAGAGGAACCCGAGGCAACGGGGCTGTCCCAGCTTCCTACTTGATCATGCCATCCATCTCCAGTCTTCCCCTTTATAACTCGAGCTTCCCTGGTGAAGCACTGAGGGTTTTTTGGTCTTGTCTGCTGCTGAATCCTTAATGTCTAGAATAGCGGCCTAGAGCAGAGGGTAAGTACTTACTGAATACCAAATAAATGGCCACCCCGCTCTGGATTCTGACTATTTCTAACGGCTTTGGCCCAGCCTTCCTGGGTGTCAGAATTGACATGGTTGTCCCCCTTAGGGAGGAGAGGTCAAGTTTCCTTCCCTCTTCCGACCTCATGTCAAGCTGCTTTAGTCCCCATGTAGGTTCATGAAATGGAAAAGGGATCTGTTTGGGCCATTTTACTCCATCTCTTCCACTTTCCGTCCATTTTTACAGCTTCTCTGTCCTCAATTAGATTTAATTACAATGCTTATCCTTAAGCTGTTTCTTAAATGACCTCTTGTTAGGACTATTTAATACTCACGGTTTGTCCTGTGTGGTGAAAGCTTCTGTCCCCAAACTCCAGTCCTAGACCTCAGCTGTATGATAAAGCGTTCATTAAAAGATGGCTTAAACGGCACAGGATGCCTCTTTGATTGTATAATCAGCTCAGCAGCTAATGCAATTGTCTTGGTGACAAGAACTACAGTGTAATACAGCCTCTCTTGAGACCCGGTAGAAAGACAATTGCATCATCCTGAGCAGCCCATTGATGGCTCTAGGTTTGAATCTGATTATCTTTAAGGGAAACGAAACAAAAGATCACCCCCAGCTTCTCTAAGTGGATTTTATTCTCTTGGAAGTTGCTGTTTTACTTTCCATGCAAGACAAGCATATAAATATCATGCTTTTTTTGCAGAAGAAATGAAGGGACTCTCCACTCTTTTCAGTATCACGAGGATACAGTGTTAGGGACACCTGGATGCCCCCATATGGACTCTCACGTGGGTATCCGCTGTGATTCCTCAGAAGCTCTGTTTCCACTGCAGGAGGGAATCCCCGAGGACGGTTTGCCCTGGGCATGGTGCAGAGTGAGTGGAAGGTCTATGTGAAGAGACCTCTGGATCGAGAGGAACAAGACATTTACTTCCTCAATATCACTGCCTCTGATGGACTCTTTGTCACACAGGCCATGGTGGAAGTGACCGTTAGTGACGTAAATGACAACAGCCCAGTGTGTGATCAGGTGAGCTTCAGGGATGAAAACTGCTTTATAAAACCCCACTTAATTCCTCTAAAACTAAATTCAAACCCATTGCCGATTTCTCCCTAAATCCAGACTAACATCTTCTCTTGTCTCAATTGAACATAAGATGGAAAGAAGTACAGTCTGGCATAAAATGTCCTAAATGTGAAAAGAATCTAGAGAGCCAACAGGATCATGCACCCAGCCCCTCTGCTACTCACCAATGAGACAGGAATGGTGAGCCAGCTTTTGAGTAATGCGTAGCCTCTCTCTAAATCACTGCATATGGAAAAAACTGGACCCTATGTGGTGACTTGAGTGCAGATTACACAGCTGTCAGCGGCAACACGGTTTCTGGGTGAGGTCTCCAGGTCGGTAGTGAAGTCGCCTTTCCATTGCTGTGCAAATGCACGGTGCCGACCCAGGAGTGAGGTTGCATTTTTTTCTTGCCAACATTAAATTGTTTCCTAACCCATGGACCAAGAGACAATATTTGTGTTCCATATCTTAGAAGAGTGATGTATGCAGACTTAATCTCATGTACTAAGGCCAGGTGTTGCTCATGAGTCTGCAAAGAGGTGAAAACAATCCCAGGAGCCCATTTGGTCTCAACAGAAAAAGGAACAGAGTCGGAGTGTCAAGTCTCGCAATGCAGCGATGCTATCTGTTTTCTTTTCCACTGTATTCTTACCAGTCATGTCATCTAGTCACTTTACAGTAAGTGCTCAATAAATATTTGTAAATGATTGTGTGCAGAAAATGTAAGGAAATGCATATACTAAATTTTATTGCACACTGAAATATGGTCTCAGGCAAAGGAAAGAAACCACAAAAGCTAACCCATATGAATGAACTTTAAAGAAATCTGTTTAAATGGTAGCTATAAAATTTGTACCACAGGCGGTAATGGCTTAGTCTGGTGCAACACTGTTGATGGAGGATTTTCTACCACAGGTGGTAATGACTTACTCACTGTTGCTCAACTTTGCCCAGGTTGCATATTCAGCATCTCTTCCAGAAGACATTCCATCAAATAAAATCATCCTGAAGGTCAGTGCCAAGGATGCGGATATTGGATCCAATGGAGATATACGATACTCACTCTATGGATCTGGAAACACTGAATTTTTTCTAGATCCAGAAAGTGGTAAGGTGAAATTTATTCTTTGGGGAAATGCCATTATTTATTCATATCAGAGTTTATCCTCTCCTGTGGTCTCATCATGAGTAGACAGTTACTCATCTAGAGGCTTGACATGAGGCTCTGCTGTGCTAGACACTATAGAATAAGCAGTTCATAGCGTACAGATGCAGGTACTCAGGGACGCAGGGACTCTTGGCTAGAGCTGGGACTTTCCTCTCCTCCCACTTTTCCTTCCTTCTTTCCTTCCTCCCTTCCTTCCTTCCTTCTTTCCTTCCTTCCTTCTGCTTCTCTACATTCACTATCATTAAATAAGCACACAGCTCTGTGAGTTAAGTCCTGGCTCAGAAAGGGTGGAAGAGGAATTGCATCACAAAAACTGGTCACCATGCAAACTAGGGCATCATGCTTAGCAAGAATAGTTCCTACGTGGTAAAATCTCTTTGGTTCCCTTCTGATTCTTATTGGCACTGTTGTCTGGTTTTTGTTAGACATTCATGCCTAGTTTCTCCAAAGCTGTGAGTCCCCAAATTCCTTGCATGATCAGACAACAATTATAAGATAAAAGGTTATATAAGCTAAAGTCAGATGCCTGAATTGAAGACCAGAGCTGGTAGAAAAGTCATTTTCTATGGCAGCAAATTATTTCTGTGTTGTAGATTGGGTGGTTCATCTAGTGGAAACTTTTTAATGAAGTGTAAAGAGTAAACAGTTTGCCTATTTCCTGTGCTGCATTTGTCCCAGTGAGAAAAGTCTTCAATAGTCACTGGCTTCCTCTGGCTCACTCCCACGGATCCTCCCAGGGAGCATGGACACAGTCCTTAGTTCTCTGAGTCCTATTGGAAGATAGACAACCTGTAACCACAACAAAGAAGGATTGCCCAGAGGAAATGCAGAGGAAGCTGTGCAGGACTACCACAGAAGTAGCTGGTACTCCGAGGAAAGGAGATTGGAAACTGAGGCAAGGTTCTAAGAGTTGATGCAAAACACTGCAGGTTCCAGGTCAGAGAGGGGAGGAAGTAGCTCAAACAGACACAGAGGTCTGAATGTCCTCCTGAAATGCTCCTGGGGAGTTTTTAATAAGAGAGGCAAATGACTCAGTGTGGCCTGTGTTGGAAAACTGGGCTATCTTCAGCAAGGAAGCGGTAGAAGGAACTGACTGATAACTCGTGCCGCTTACTCCAAATGTTACCAGTGACATCTAAGGGTAGCAATAATCCACAAGTCATACTTTGCAACAAATAGCAATTGCTCAGGCTTCTCCCTTCATTTCTCATTTTCTATTGCCACTTAAGCAGTAACAAAAATAATTTCCACAGATTATGAATATGCAACGTATTCATGTGTGTGTGACACGAAAGTAAAAGGGAGACTTGTCTGGAGTAGGATGGAGACAAGGATGTGGGGAGGTGGACAAGAGAGGGTAATATGGAGGAAACAACAAATATTGCATGTTTTCTCTCACATGCAAAATCAGATGCAGCTATCTAAATATCTACACGGTATGGCAGTAGAAGTGGAGACTGTTTGAAGAGAGAAAGAAAGACGGAGGGAAAGAGAGATGATAATGTGATACAAATATGAGCTGAGTACAATACAGCCCCGTTATTTGAATACCAAGCTTGAGCCTTGTGGACTAGAACCTATATTAGTTACTTTTGCAGGTGCTGTGAAAAAAAAAACCCTGGCAAAAGCAATGTAAGGAAGGAAGGGTTGATCTTGGCTCATGGCTCTAGGGTAAAGTCCATCATGATGGGAGAGGCCCTGTGGCAGGAGCCTGGGATAGCTAGTTGGTCAGATTGCTTCCACAGTCAGGAGACAGAGAAAGGAATTCCAGCTCTCTGGTCACCCCCTCCATTTACACAGTCCAAGATTCCAGCCCAAGGAATGGGGCCTCCCATATTTAAGACGGGTTTTTGTGCCTCAACCAGCCTATTCAAGAATATCACTCATAGGAGTCTCTAATTTAGATAATCCATCTTTAATATTCCAGGAGCCTTGCTTCCTATTGATTCTGGGTAGGTCCTATCAAACTGACCACCAGTGTTAATCATCACTCACAAACCTTCTGGTTAAGCCAGCCAATTTTAATAGTTTTATTTTCCTCTCAGAGATGGGGTAAAAAGCAGCATGTTTAGAAACAGAATATTGCGCTCCTTGGCCTGTGGGTCATGGACACCAAGACAATTATACACCTGGAGTCATCCATCTATGAAGGCTTCCCCCCTTAGCCAAAAGAGAGAATCTGATGAAGCTTTGCAAAAGGATTAATTAATCTGAAGGTCAAGCAGTTGGTTGGTTTGCCATTGTATCTAAAATTCTGTGATATTTCCCTGATGTCTAAGGGAAATGACGTAAGACCTTGGCATTTCTCGTATTTAGGAATCTTCATAAAATTGATTTTCTGCTTTTCCATGAAAAGACCATTTTTGAAAAGCCAGACGAACTGTGTTTCTATTGCATTTCACAGGTGAGTTAAAAACCTTGGCCCTGTTGGACCGGGAGAGGGTCCCAGTATACAACCTGATTGCCAGGGCCACTGACGGGGGTGGCCGCTTCTGCCACTCCAATGTCCTCCTGCTCCTGGAAGATGTGAACGATAACCCCCCTGTGTTTCCTTCCAACCACTACACTGCATGTGTCTACGAGAACACAGCCACGAAGGCTCTGCTGACCAGAGTGCAAGCCATCGACCCTGATGTTGGTAAGTCAGTTCACCAGCCAGGCTTCTCCCACACTGCACCTAGGAGTGGGTTCCAGAAGCTTCTCCTGCTAGGGCATGCACAGTAAGCCAAGATTTCACTCCTGAGAGGGTATGCCTCTTATATAGGAAGAGCTCCACATGTTCTCTTCCTCCTTTTGCTACGCCCTTGCCCCCCAAAAGTCCTAGAAAGAGAATTTCGAACCCCTCAACCTGTAACTAAGGATGTGGGGATAGTTTACAGACTCTGATCTTTTACTTTTGTGATTTTCCTTAAAAAAAAAAAATAAGATTCTTACTTGCCTATTCCTCCTAAACACAGTTAAAACGCTATGCTGTGTGGCAGGGAGAGTTCATTTCCATTTCTATGAAGAATCACATCACAGTCCACTGAAAATATGGCAGTCTCTATTGGACTTCCCCACTGTGCAAAGAGCAATTATTAAATGTGTTACTAGTCCGATGTGGAATTTTTTAAACTAGCATCTTCCAGAGCCCCGTCCCTCTACCTGGCCCCCATTACTTACAGACAGGCACCACTAGGCAGAGCGAAGGTGGAGAGATAAGAAAGAGCTAGAACTGAAATTGCTAATACAGTTTACGTTCAAATCCTTTCCAAATAATGAGATGATGAGCTGGGAAAGACGGGAGTTAATTGCGAGGTAGACCTTCTAAGAATGCATAAGTTATTGAGGTGACTATATGATGGAATATAAATATTAAAGGGCATGCAAAGCCTTTTGCTTGTACGTTTTAAGGGCTGGAAATCAGAGGATGGAAATGAAGGAGTGTGTCTGTTATGCTAAGCAGGCCTTTATATAATTCACTGTCTTCCTGCTTAATTCTGAATTGATAGAAAAATTATTGGACTAATGGAAAAGCAAGTACATGATAATTAGCTAAAAACAAACGTAGGACCCAGGGTCTCTTCATGTTTCCCCTTACAGAAATTAGAGGTTACACTTGAGTTATTGCTCTTATCACATTAGCATAATTTTAAGGCCAAGACCAATCCCTTAAAAGCATGTATATTATTGAGGAAAATGGCAAACAAAAAAAGACTGTTTATTAGTATATAATTACATCATAACTGCAAACAATCTTTTTCTTTTCAAGATTAGAAAACACTCTTTGGACTCTTATCTAAGATTTGGGGAAAAGAGGACAGAATTAATGCTAATGAGTCTTTCAACAATTTAAAATTTGACTTGAGGATGTGTAATTAGCCCATAGATAAAATTTCAAGAGCTGAAAGCCTTCAGTTCTGCCACTCATTTCCTTCAGATGTGTTCAGGAAGTGACCAGATGTGTTCAGGAAGTGACCAGATGTGTTCAGGAAGTGACCGGATGTGTTCAGGAAGTGACCGGATGTGTTCAGGAAGTGACCGGATGTGTTCAGGAAGTGACCAGATGTGTTCAGGAAGTGACTGGATGTGTTCAGGAAGTGACCAGATGTGTTCAGGAAGTGACCGGATGTGTTCAGGAAGTGGCCAGATGTGTTCAACCTTCTGAGAGTAGACATACATGACTGGTCACCACACATGCTATTTAGACAGTGTGAGTGTGGGGTGGGGTGGGATTAAGACATGTGAGAGATGATTTGCAGGGTGTGATGAAGAACATGGTTAGCTATGAGTCCTCCTTCTCTTCTGTCTGGTCAGTTAACCAGATTGGCAGAAGGGGTGGGAGGAAATCTAAATTCTGGCCATTTATCAGGACAGGGATGGGAAGACCTAGAAGAATAAAAATGGGTAGAGATCTTACTATATCTTCATCTTTGTATTTTCCACAATAAGAAGGCTTCTTCGAAGAATCTCACGTGGATACCAAGGTCCTGGATACCACAGACACCAGAGTAGGAAGTGTATGTGCCCGGCCATCATGTCAGCCTCAGGAAACCTCCTGTATGGTACCAGACTCTTGTTCATTTTCTCAAGAGACTATGACAGGCAGGGCTGGCCAGTGTCTCAGCAATTAAAGATGCATGTCACTTACTCACTCTGGTAGCCTGAGTTCAAATCATGAAACACATGCAAATTTAGAAGGAAAGAACTTGCTCCCCAACTATGATAGATGGGGTACAACAAATGAGTGTTTTAAGAAATATAAACAGAGTACCCACCATTGCCCATGCTCCAACCTGAGGAAGTGTTAGTGGGAGATTTGATTAGAGCACACAGTAGTCTGTCTGAACTGCCATCAGAAAATCTCTGAGTGTCGTGACTGAGAGTTTAAGACATGGTCCTTAGTGATCCCATTCAGACACCGGTCTCCAGGGTGAATTTCTGTCTTTCCTAAGATTAGAGGGAGCAATGCATAATGAGTAAGTATCAGGAGGTTGTGTTGGGGATTCACTATGGGGCCAAATTAGATGTGTGGAAGCTGGGTTCACACACAAAGCCATGAAGCCATATCCAGCCCTCTGGTGTTTCGTTTCCTTTATACAAAGTGCTATACAGAGCTCTATTTAATTATTATACAGAGTCAGGTTCTTGTTGGACATTGTAATCTCTAGCTCTTTATAAAGACTATAGTGCTGAGAAGATCGGAATCCCATGCATTCAGCTCCTACAGTGTGCTAAATAGTAGATGCTTCGTGATAGGTAACCACAGACCCCCTCTACAGACCAGCTCCCTACTAACTGATGGTACTACCCAATCACAGTTGCAACCCATTCTCTACAATAATAAAGAAATTTCTATATTTCCTCAAAGAAAATAATTCTGAAATAATTATAGATTCACAGGAACTTTTAACTTTCCCTCAGCCCAATCCCCAGTGATGATATCCTGCCTAACTACAGAATTGTTATTAAAATCACAAAGGTGAGGTAGGTGCAATCCCCTAGGCATACCCACCTTTCCTGGAGTGAACATGGTTCCCAAGTAACCATCATTGTGTATCTTCACAAAGCCTTCAGCATCCTTAACCAGCACAAGGCTCCCATCGACACCATTGTGACCACACCCTCCTCTCTCCCAGTTTCTATACACAGCCAAACATTTAGCCTTTTATCTTCCATTTTATTATTTAAAATGTTATTAACCAAAGTCATATCATTTGTACCCTTTTGAGGTTGGTATGTTTTCTCTTAGCATAATTTGCTTCAGGTTCATCCAAGTTATTGAATTCACTTCTAGTGACAAGTTATGAATCCATTTGGCTCAGGAAACTTCTGTTAATATATTCCTTTACATGAAATGGTAAGCCAGTTTTATTGATGTTAGCTCATGAATTTCCGTGTCCTTCTAAAGTGGTTTTGTTGAAATCTTACCCTTGATATGTTTATATTGAGATGCAGCCTTTGTAGGGGAGGGGTGCATGTAACAGAAGTGTGCCCATACAGAGTGTTTAATGTCTTCAACAAGGAAGCTTGAGGGAGCCTGTACCCCTTCTGGCTGTGAGGGAACACAGAGGCAGTAGCTTTGAAGATTCAGCCTCCTCACACACCAGAACCACTGGTACCTGGTTTTAGACTTTCCAGACCCCAGAACTATAACAGAATTTTGGTACCCCTAAATTACTCATGTTAAATATTTTGTCATAATAGTCCAAATGGACTCTGATGACCATCATTTGTCTGCATTATATACTTGGTCATTCTGCTTTGTAGAGGCATGACAAGATATTAACTTAAAATCTGATTCCATGAAGTCCAGAGTACAAAGACCTTGCTATGAATCCCTAACCCTTCACTCTTTGGGTTTATCACTTTTAAACATGTTATTTCCTTTAGTCAAACAGGTCCGTCCCATGAATCATTCACAATGAACCAAAAATAATGCTATAAGAATTTCTTCCATCAGCAATAAAATAAAGCATAGGAAGACAAGATAATTTACACCATTTTAGGATTTCTAAGAAATAGCATGGTAACTGTAAGATTTTAGCAATAAGTTCTTATTTTTCCCGTAAAATGAAAATATCTTTAGCCCCATAAAGTAGTGACATGACTTCATGACCCCAAATTTATGAAAATTTAATAATCTTTCAGTAAAGACAGGGAGGTTTTGATCTTTTAATGCATTAACTCTTTGGAGTTAATATGCTAGATTTAGTAGACCTTTTGGATCTTAACAATTCTTAGCAGCTAAGGGGGTTGGTTTTTTGCTGTTTTGTGTTTGTTTTGTTTTGCTTTGCTTTTCCAAAAACCAAGCAAAGCCAACTTTTATTCAAAGAGGACAATTTTATTAGAGTTTAAACAAAAACATAACAAACAACAAAATACAAAACAAAACAAAGCCCAGGGCAGGTGAGCTGTTAAATCCCAGCAATTTCCTGGAGGAGAATGGAAAAGAAAAGACAGACAAAGCACTAAGCTGCCTAAGTTAAGCCAGGATGGAGGTCAGTTGCCACAGGTTGGCATGCAGCCCCAAGGTGAGAAAGGGGTCGTTAGAGGAACAATGAAGCCCAAAGTGTAGGAGAATGCATTCTTAGAAAAGAGATAAGAGAAAGAAATGTAACACTTCTCTTATAATTCAGAAAAGCAAGCTGACTTACAAATCTCTGTGGTTGCATGCCTTTAAAAAAAAGAAGAGACTTTCCTGGGGGAGAGAACGATGGGATGGAAGAATACACTAACTAATTAAATGGATAATTATTCTGCCTATCAGAATTTCATTTTGAGAGGGTTTTGTTTGTTTTGTGGGTTTTTTTTTTGTTGTTGTTGTTTCTCTATCAAAACAAACAGCGTGAAGGATCACAACAAAAAGCCTGTGACCATTTTTAGGCAACATGGCATGAAAATAAAGTGTAAATTTGTAAAGGGTAAATATGCTACAGTCCATGGTTTAGGAAAACGCCAATTTCTACATACTGAGATGTGGGGAGGAATGTTTTTATTATTATGAATAAAGAGCATAAAGAAAGAAATGTATTCTAATGAGCCTGTTGCTCCTTTTCTTGTTACACAATTCCTATGAGAGTCAGAATTTGAGGGATCTCAGAAGTTACAGGCTCAGAGCACACCTCAGGTATTTTCCATCCAACTTAGCCAATACAT